TGTCACTAACCTCCCATGCCCCTCACCACCCTTGCTTAAGGGCCAGGCACCCTCACAGCCGGCTTCCCCAAGTCTCCTCCACAAGCCCGCATGACTCAGAAGCTCGGCCCAGCCGTGCACGGATAGCAGGGCTGCATGGCTTCCTTCACCAAATGCCGGAGCCTTCGGCAGCCTGTGCTCCGGGATGGGACCTGCTAACCAGCACACTGCTGTTGTTGGACGTTTTTTGTGTGGGAGTCGGGACCTGGACCCCAGTGACATAGTGACAGCTTGAGGTTCTAGATCCCAAGTCAAGGATCAGTCTTAGCAGATATTGCTAGAAAGAATTTCTGGAGTTGGGTGCCCTGTGTTCACATCCCCTGCTACTCACTCACAGCGGGGATCTCAGCAGTGTCCCATCTCTGAGCCTTCATTTGTCAAGCGGGCATAATGCAGGTCTACCATCCCTTCTTGGAAGTCCCTGGGGCCAGAAGTAGTTGGGAAATCAGTAATTTTTTAATTTTAGAATATTGTACAGTATGCATAATGAGCAGCAACCTATAACCAAACACACTGATATTTCCACAGCAAAATCTATGCATGTTCATACTGTGAGGGGATAGGATATAAACAGGTTTTGCCACCAAAATAGTTGGGAAATCTTCCATTTGGGTGTTTTGGTTGGGGCGGGGGGAGGATTTAGGAATCGCAAATAAGGGATAGCACCTGCTTTGAAGGGTTGACCTGCAGATTAGAAGGGTTTCAGGCAATACATGCTCCACACTGGGGCCTGGGTGTGGAAGTGACCCTAAGAGAGAGTGCTGACAGTGATGCTGACAATAGTACTTAGTACTTAGCCCCTCAGTTCTGGCAGCAGCTGGGAGCAGGACTCCGGAGGAGCCCTGTGTCTGGGTAGCAAGTAAGCACAGTGGGCCCCCCTTTGGATCTGGGGCCCTGTCTGTCTACAAAGTGCCTCTGGGTGGGACAGAAGGCTGAGAGGCACAGGAAGGGCCAAGGACAGGGAGGGTCAGTCCAGCCCCTTCCCTTGGAAGCTTCCCCGTTTTGTGGCCCTTCCTGAGGCTCCCTGGGCTATGTGGGGTGGGGTGGGGTTGGGGGTACGTCAAGTTTCACCACTGCTCCTCTGCACTCATGCATGCTCCTCCTCGCCGGAAGGGGTGGGAGTCAGGGAAATGAGGGGGCAGGCCCAGCCGGAAGGCCTATCCTGTCTCCCAGGCCCTAGAGGTACCCCCTGACTGCTGCCTCCTGGGATTCCTAAGGCCCAGAACCTGCCTTGCTCCCCCTTCCATTCTTCTGGGCTTTGCAGAACTGAGAGAGGAGCAAGCTGAAGCTTTGCCCACCATCCCTGGCCTGCTCTGAATCAGGGAAGTGACCTCTTGGCACACAGGACTTGGCAGGGGCATTTTGGCCCAGCCGGCAGGGTTTGAGGCATACTGTCCCTGAGAAGAACCTGTAAGTAGCCGGGGAGCATCATATGTCTGTTCCTGGGCTGGCTGTCCTCTCCTCTGGCTCTCTGTTCCCCCTCCTCTCACTGGGGTGAAGTTGGGGGCTGAGACATGCCCTGACCTGGAGTTCAGCCACCTGTCACCTGGGCTTAGGGCAGGAGTCACAGGGGTTATGAGAAAACAGGGCCGTTCCAGTGCTGAAATGGGCAGGACGGTAGGAAGAAAATGCTCCCGAGCTCCTGGGCATCTGTTCTTTTTTTCTCATCTGATAGTTAAGAACCTCAAATTGATGCTTGGCTTGCCTCCCTGACCCTACTATACTTACCTACTGGTCCTGGTGGCTTCCTGGTGGAAGTTTAGCATGCTGTACTCCACTGTTCCCCAGGCTAGGACTAATAGTGGTTTAACCTCTAGGCGGAAGCTGACCCTGCGGTCCGGCTGAGCGCCACAGAGGAGGCCCACCGGCGGCTTGAGAGGATCTTCACAGCTTCTGTAATGCCACCTCTCATGTATGGTTCCCAGGCCCTGGCACTCCCCTCTCCTGAGGCTGGTGGCCAGACTGCATGTGTCTCTGGTGGTGGGGGGAGCACTGACTATGAAACGGTGGCTCCATGGTGGCCTGAGGGCCCTCACATGAGCTTCCCACTTGAAGAAATGGAGAAGGGCTCAGCAGAGAGTCTGAGCGCAGTGAGGCCTTGTTCCTCCAGGGAACCCAGAGCCCTGTGCCCGTGGAAGGGCGGCCCTTCCAGCTGAGAATCCAGCCCCTTTCTCTAGCCTCATTCTCTTGCCCTAGAGGAAGTGACTTGGTTGCAGGATCTGGTGGGTGGAGAGGCAGGGAGCTGGGACTCTCTTTTGATGGCCTGACTCTCCAGACCCAGGTGGGACCTGTTAACTCCTTGCCCATTTCTAACAGGCAAGGTCCAACCTGGCTGACTCCCCTTCCTCTCTAGAAAGGCCTTCAAGTAACCAGGCATAGACAGGTCAAGGCTGGCCACAGGGTCTGCCCACAGTCCCCTGGTTGTTGGGCAGTGGGCAGGCACATCTGGATGGGGTGGTGTGCCCACCTGGGAAGGGTGCAGTGGGGTTTGACGAAGGGGCCCGAGACTTGGGGCTGCTAGTAGTTTTGTTCTATGAGAGGCCCAAGGGTGGCAGCTCTGAAGGGAGCAGCACCCTTGGGTGTGAGTTTGGAGGCCAGGGACAGCTGCGTGCTTAGGTCTGGTGGCTACAGGGGAGCCAGGCTGGGAAATGCCCTGGAGATGAGGCTAGAGGCTCCCAGGGGCCCAGACCCTGGGTGGAGTGAGGTAGTCTGGCCTGGCAGACACTCAGAAGAGGAGCCCTATTCAGAACGGTCTGGATGGCCAGCCCCGGAGAGAGCAGCCAGAGGCCAAGGGGCACACGCCTGCCCAGGCCACAGGCAGTGACTTACCAGAGCATCTTCTCTGAGAAGTCTGATGGTAATAAGTGTCTCTTAACCAAGCTGGGTCTCCCTTTTTGGTCTGGCCTCTGCTTGACTGGGCATTGTTCACCTGCCCAGCCAGCTCCTCTGTCCTGGCGCTAAGCTCCTCTCACCTCCACCCCACACCTCGGACCGCTGGAGAGTGCCCAAGTGCTTGGCCCAGGGTGCTTGCTGAAGGGGCATGCCAGTGGTCTGCTTGTCTTCACCCTCTTCTCTCTCTCTCCTTTGCTTGCTGCGGGTAGCTGGACCCTGAGGCTGCCTCTCCTGCCCACAGCCAGGTAGGGTGCTCCTGCCCCACTCAGGAGCCCTCGGCTTCCTCCGGTGACAGCCTGCCACCCCTGGCCTGCACCTGGGCTGGTGTCTGTGCTCGGGCCTCGTGCTGGAGTGTAAGGCCTCTTTCCCCTTCCGGCTCCCCCCTGCTGTCTGGGGGGGATCTTGGGAAGAGGCAGTGCCAGGAGTTTGAGGTGGAACAGCTCTGTGTCAGGACCTTGGGGAATGCCTAGACTCAGTGTCACCACTCCAGTTTAGCGTCACAGCACGTGGTTCTTAGCCACTGGAGCCCAAGGGCCTGGCTAGAGTTTTAGTTTCTATTGGTTTCAGTTCTGCTAACTGGGTAGAGAAAGCTGAGAAATCCCTTCCCCTCCCCGCCCCTGAAGCTGTGGCATTCTCTGTCTCCACCTGCTGGCCAACGTGGGAAGCCCATCTTCGGATTAACTAATGGAATGAGTTACAGGTCTTGACCCTTTGATGCTGCCTTCTTCATGGGCCTCAAAACAGCCTGACCCATAGAACATGTCCATTCAAGACAAAGTTTCACCTGTCTCACATTATTTAAAAAATATATGTATATTGTTATTTTGTATAAAGTTATGTTTCTTCAAATATAAAGAACCACCCTTTCTTTTTAAAAAATGTCTTCACTTAACAATTCAAAATGTTGACAGCCCCATGGGGATCCTCCTATTTGAAGCATAATGTCACTGCTCATGAGTCCCAGAGTCCGGGGATGACCAGGGTAGTCTAGCCTTCTCACTCTGTAACTGGAAAGGGCAGTTTGCCGTGGAGAGGGAGCTGTTTGGAGTAGAACCCAGATCTCTTTGTCTCTCAGCTCCAAGAAATGGACAAAGAAAATACTTACTAAAATGTTTTTATCCTTTCTAATCCCTCACTTGGGGTTAGTATCAGAGTAGTCTGCACTTTAGCCTCAGGTCTCATGAGGGGGGAGATTAATTGTACCTCCCAGCTGGGGACCCTCGGACAGTGGGGGCTGGGGGCAGGCTAGCCTGAGGGCTGCGCCAGGCACAGAGGTGGCCATCCCCCGACCAGGGGCCCCTGGATGACCCTCCTGCCCTTTGGCCTACACACAACATAAGGAGCCTGATGGGCCATGGGAGCGGGGCCCCTCTCCTGTTTGCCCTGCTCCCCAGGGCACCATTTCTGCCCAGCTCGTCTCTTTAAGGGGGTGCCAGGTTTGGCAGTTCCATACCCTGACATTGCCTGCAAATGCTTCTTTCTGATGATTGGTGACTACCTGGGACCTCCGGGAGAGCATCCTCTGGAGGGGAAGGCAGGGCCGAGCCTAGGACTCAGGACCCACTTGTCATTTTGTACTACAAAGTCCTCGGAGACACTTCTGTCCTTAGGTCTTGAGGAGATGCCCTTTCCCAGCTTGGTGAAGGAGGACCTATCAGTTGGATGAAGGGAGAAGCTGGGCATGCAGGTGGCCCAGGGTGAGAGGTGTGCGATCAGAATCCTGATCGTACAGGGTCACAGGGAGGTGGGGAAGAGGGCAGCTAAGGCAGAGCCTGGTGGTTTGCTCTCCTGGCATTGTTGTGTACTGGGCACACATTACCAGTGCCCCTGTCTTCCAGACCCTCAAGGTGAGTGTGCCTCTTAGCTCTGTGCCCTGGTCCTCAGGACTGCCACTACCTCCTGGCTTCCCCACCTTTTTTGATGTCCCTGGTTCTACATCTGCCACCCAGCTGTCCCCCTTGCCCAATGACTCGTCTGGAAGCCCCTCCCCTCACATGACCCTCTCTCCCACTGTCCTTGTCTCTGTGTTCCAGAACAGGGTCTGACTATTCTTGCTCTCCCTCTGATAGGTGAAGACCGAGGAGCAGATTGCCGCTGAGGAGGCCTGGTATGAGACAGAGAAGGTGTGGCTGGTCCATAAGGATGGCTTCTCACTGGGTGCGTCTGGGGAGGCCCAGCGTGCAGATGGCTGGGCCTCTCGGATTTCGGGTCTGGGTGTACCTCCTGGTCTGGCTGAGGGCTGGGTGATAAGCCAGGAGAAGCTGGTGATACAGTGGGGAGGAGGCAGGACCACAAAGAGCCCAAAGAGGGTGGCAAAGGCTTCCCAGGCCCGTCTGACTCTCTTTCCCCTGCTCTGCAGGCACTCAGCTCAAATCTGAGGAACTTAGCTTGCCTGAGGGGAAGGTGCGCGTGAAACTAGACCATGATGGAACCATCCTGGACGTGGATGAGGATGACGTGGAGAAGGTTGGCAGGAGGCTCGTGGAGGGCAGGGACCAGGGGCAGGCAGGCAGGCCCCTCCGCAGCAGGGCCAGCAGGTGCTACCTCTTCAGTGCCCTCCTGCCTGTCCTTTCCCCAGGCCAACGCTCCCTCCTGTGACCGTCTGGAAGATCTGGCCTCGCTGGTGTATCTCAATGAGTCCAGCGTCCTGCACACACTACGCCAGCGCTCTGGCACCAGCCTGCTGCACACATATGCTGGCCCCAGCCTGCTGGTCCTCAGCCCCCGTGGGACCCCTGCCGTGTACTCCGAGAAGGTGCGGTGCCCCAGGCTGCCAGGCTGCCTCACAGACCCACGCGCGACCTCCCACCTTTCTGGCTTCGCCCCTTCCCCTCCGCATCCCCCTGGGCTCCTGTCCACTCTCACAGCTGACCTGGGGAAGGAGTCATCTCAAGGAGTGGGGACAGAAGCCCTCCACCTAACCGCTAGTGGAGGCCAGGACTTGGCTAGTATCTGCATTTCCTTATGTGACCGTAGCGTCAGAATCCCTCAGCTCCCCTGGAGTGAAAGGCCCAGGAAGGAAGATGTGGCCCTTGTGGGTGAGGGTGTCTGAGTGGGACCAGCTAAGCACCTCCGCTTCCCTCTGACCCTCTCCTGCCCAAGGTGATGCACATGTTCAAGGGCTGTCGGCGGGAAGACATGGCACCCCACATCTATGCCGTAGCCCAGGCCGCGTACCGGGCGATGCTGATGAGCCGTCAGGACCAGTCCATCATCCTCCTGGGCAGCAGTGGCAGTGGCAAAAGCACAAGCTGCCAGCACCTGGTGCAGTACTTGGCCACCATCGCAGGCAGCAGTGGGAACAAGGTCTTTTCTGGTGAGGCCGGGGGAACTGGGCTGGGGAGAACCTCTTGGGATGGAGGCCCCTCCTAGGTGCCAGCCTTTTTCTCCCTGCCCTCCCCTTTGCCCTCAACTGCCGTCTGTCCTCAGGCAGTTCTGGTCTAAGTAACTCCAAGCCTTCGTGTGCTAGGAGAACAGGCATGGGCTGGCCTCTCATGCCTGGGCCTCTGGAGCCCATGACTGGGGGTGAGCTGTCCCTGGCTTTCCTGATGGCCCCTGGGCCTGTCGTCTGCAGTGGAGAAGTGGCAGGCTCTGTATACCCTCCTGGAAGCCTTTGGGAACAGCCCCACCATCATGAATGGCAATGCCACCCGCTTCTCCCAGATCCTCTCCCTGGACTTTGACCAAGCTGGCCAGGTGGCCTCAGCCTCCATTCAGGTAAGGGGACACTCAGGGTAGTCAGAGGTTGGCCATCTGATTTCATGCCCCAGAAGTCAGGCTCTCTCCGGTGTCTGTTTTTTCTGGGATCCCGCCCCCTCAACATGGACCCTGGCCCCAGGAGGGCTGGCCTGCTCTGCCCTGAGCCTTCACCATCCTGCCCTTCATGCCTCCTGCTTTCTCACCTCCTGGTTCAGCTCCCCCCACCCACTGGGGCTGGCCACACTGTACTGCTGGGGACCCTAGCCCTGTGCTCAGGGGCTTCTCTTGGCTGATTTCACCCTGGGAGGGTGGCTTGTCAGTAAAGTAAGGCCCAGCTGAGGCTGCTTCCCTTCCATGCTAAATGAAGTCCCTCACCATAAAGTGTCCAGCTCTGCAAGAAGGCTGTGCCGGGGAGCTGGGCATGGCACCAGGGCCCCTCTACAAGCTGGGCCTGTCTTCCTCAGCCGGCTCTGGTTTCTGCCTTGGGTTTGGCCCTGATGTGATCTGGCCTCTGGCTGAGCACCTTGAGAATAAGATGCAGCCGCTTGTTCCCCTGGGCTTGGTTCTTTCTGGTGCGGGGTGGGAAAAGCTTGACTGGCCTGCTGTTGCCCATGCCCTCCATGCTGTGCCACAGACGATGCTGCTGGAGAAGCTACGCGTGGCTCGACGCCCAGCCAATGAAGCCACATTCAATGTCTTCTACTACCTGCTGGCCTGTGGGGATGGCTCCCTCAGGTGAGATGGGCCCGAGAGAACCAGGAGGGGGCTCTGGACTCCGGCCCCATCGATGGCTCCTAGACCTGGCCAGTCGATTGCATCCCATAATGTTTTTTTATTGTGTACTTTCTGCATGGTAGGCTCAGAGCCGGGCCCTGGGGATGAGGAGCTGAATGAGCCATATCCTGGCCCGGGTGCAGGGACCTGGTGATTTGCGAGGGGCACCATTGGCCCTTCAGTGTTCAGGCCTAGCTGGGAGCTAGGATCTCTGCTACCCACGAAGCCAGGTCTGGAGAGGAAGGTACACTGAGATGCAGGTGGTCAGGGACCTGCCCGCCATCACATAGCTGACATGGGGCTGGGCTGGCGTGTGACCACACTGGGACCAAAAGTGTAAGCTTTTTTCGGCTTCCTCCAAGCTGGCCCTTCTGACACCATGTTGGCTCCTCTGCCAGGCTCTTCCCTGTAGACCTTCAGACATGCTGTCTTTGTTCATTGGAAAAAGGTTGAATGACAAAGCTAAGCAGTCGGCCCCAGGGCTTCACCCTCCTTTCTCCACCCGTAAGGAGGGCATGTCTCTATCTGGTGGACTTGCCCTTCAGGCAGGTTCCCTGCTCCCCTCAGCGGTCTGGCTGGACACCCACCAGGGTATCTCTGGTGACCTGTCCTAGGGAGGCTGGTGCTCTGACCGATGTCCAGGCCAATTAGGAGAGGCAGCAGCAGCTGGCCTGATGGACAGACAGAACTAGGAGTCTGGAAGCTGAGTCTGTCCGTTTGCATCCTGGTAGGGAGATGTTGGCCTGGGGGCCATGCACTGTGCTGACACTTCATTTGTATCCCTAGGACAGAGCTCCACTTGAACCACCTGCCTGAGAACAGTGCATTTGGGATTGTGCCACTGGCCAAGGTGAGGAGCTTGGAGGGACTCGGTTGGCAGCCCTCGGCCCCGGGGGTAGGAGAAGCTTTGAATGTCCTGGAAGGCCCCATGGGAATGCAGGAGCCCAACTCTAGCAGGGCGGCTCTGCCCTAGCCTCACACTCCCTGAGGGCCCAGCAGCCCTGGGGTATGCCAGGAAGGGCAGCCCCTCTGAGATCTGGAGCCGGTATGCCCATCTGTCCTTGCAGCTTGAGGAGAAGCAGAAGGCGGCTCAGCAGTTCAGTAAGCTACAGACAGCCATGAAGGTGCTGGGCATCTCCCCCGATGAACAGAAAGCCTGCTGGCTCATCCTGGCCTCCATCTACCACCTGGGGGCTGCCGGTGCCACTAAAGGTAACCTGCAGGGGTCCCAACAGCCTGGCTTGTTGGAGCGGGGGTTCCTGCCACTCCCAGCTCATCCTCGCCCAGCACAGTCTCATCTGTTAGCACACCCCTCTTTTGCTTGTGCCTGAGCAGACCTCAAACATCTGAATAGCATCTGTGCCAATGATGGCCTGAGGCCTAGGCTTAGATGGCAGTGAGCAGGGGCACTCTGAGGAGCTCAGGGCTCAGGGCTTTGGGGGCTGTGGGGAAGAGAAGGGCCCTAACTCAGGGGGGTTCCCTGGAATAACTCTTCTTCTTGTTCCCTTTCTGACAGAGGCCCCTGAGAAGCCAACGGGTAACTGCCCTTGGCCGCTCACTGGGGTGTAGGGCCACCTTGCCGCGTCTTGGGGCTTGCCCCGGGCTCTCTCTAGGGGCTGGGCTTGTTCTGCCAAAATGGAGGGGACTGGCCTGGGAGAAGCCCCAGTACTGAGGGGAGAGAGGGCACCTGCTGGCTATGGGGCTATTCGGAGTCCCAGGAATAGCTGCTTCTACCTGTTTTGTATCCAGATCCTGGAACGTCTCAGGATGCCCTCCAGGGGGCCTTAGGTGGGGTAGGGTGGGCTCACTTCCTGGTGCTTCCCGAGGCCAGTTTTCCTGGAGTGTCTTCTCTCTCCACTGGTTTGGGAGTAGGTGTCCCTCCCTCTTGCATGTGGAGGCCACTGGGGGGCAGCAGGCACCGTGGTAACGAATGGGCTGCAACTTCAGCACTTGAGCTTGGGAGCTTGTGAATGGCTAGAGCTGGTCTGCCTTCCTCTGAGATTCCACTGATGCGCGGGCACTCCGAGCCCCTCTTCACCCCTTTCTCCTCCAGATTAGGGAAAGGGATGCTGCCTCTGCATAGCACCTCGGGCTTTGGCTTCATCTTTCTCTGGAATGAGAAGGGCCACAGGCTGCTCAGCCGGAGAAAGCACTGGGGGGTGGGTGGGGGGTGGAGGAGGGAACAGACGTCTAGGAGTCAGGCCCCTGATGATCCCCACAGTGGTGATCCTGCCAGAGAAGAAGCAGGTCCTGACTTAAAGAAATTTTCTGCAGACGTGTAAGCGTGCAGGCAGGTGGGTGTGGGGCCGTGTCTTGAGGTTCTTTCACTCTGAGGAGGTGACAAGCCCAGGTTTCCTATGACCCTACTCAGCACTGAGTGCAGACAGAGGCTCTGGGCGTGTCGGCTCATAGGCCTTGTTGAGTGCGGCCTGTTGCCTCCTCAGGGCTTCCAGTATTTCCAGAGTGTGTGTGTGCCTGTGCGTGCATCGGTGTGTGTCTGTGTCTGTGTGGCAGAATGTCTTTGTAGGTCTCCCTGTGCGATTATATCCATAAACATACTCCTTTGAGGTTGTGAGTGGGTGTGCATGTATGTGTTTGTGTTTCTGCATCTGAATGTGGTTGCGTCCTCTCGTCTGCTCATCCACACAAACCCCCGCCCCCCATGGCCCCTTCCCCATGGCAGGCTCACTGATGACTGTTTGCTAACATGCTGTTTTTCTTTGCATGCTGCATGCTGGTCCTTTGCCTTACAGAAGCTGCGGAAGGTAAAACCTCATTTCTTGTTAGATTTCCCTAATTGCCGTGATTAGACACTTGTTGGCTGAGCGCATGTCTACGTTGGCTGTTCCCTTACTCCTGCAGCTTTCTCGCCTCCCCCACTGTTGGACCATGGGTGTTTGTTTGAGGTCTCCCTGGCCGATATGTGGGAATGAGGTGAAGGGTCCTGATGCATCCACAGAAGGGAGCTAGAACTGTCTCACGATATGGCCCCCATGGGCACAGGTGTTCTTTGTGCTTATAATAGGTAGGCAGCTCATCCTCTGCCTTTCCCCAAGTCAGCACCCCTGGAGTCAAGCCCTCTAAAGGGATGTTCGCCGTGACTGGGTGTCCACTTGTGGCAGCAGTGTGGAGTTACCTCCTCTTTCAGGACCTGCTCATTCTCTCCACTCCCAAGAAACCCAGGAAGCGCTGACAGCGGCTGGCTATCCCTGCTTTGCCTGAAGCCCTTCTGGTGTCATCAGGGCTGGTTTTTTTCTCCAGAAGATGCCCATTCCCCAGGCCGTGGCTGTGGGACTCAGAGGGCCTAAGGAGGAAGACCCAAGGTGCCAGATGCTTTTTTCTGCCTCCTAGCTGGGCGCAAGCAGTTTGCCCGCCATGAGTGGGCCCAGAAGGCCGCATACCTGTTGGGCTGCAGCCTGGAGGAACTCTCCTCAGCCATCTTCAAGCACCAGCACAAGGGTGGCACCCTGCAACGCTCTACCTCCTTCCGCCAGGGCCCCGACGAAAGCAGCCTGGGAGATGGCACAGGTTCCCTGAGCCCCTTGGCTGGGGGGTGTTATTAGGAGGCCTTACCCGGGGCTCGCTGCCATCTCTGGAGTGGGGAGAGGGGAGACTGCTGGGGTGAATGGTGCTTCCATCAGGGGAGAGGCTGAACCCCAGGGCTCCATGCTGGCTTGGGCCTGCATAGGGAGGGATTCCCAGGGAACAGGGGCTAATCTACTTGCCCCTCAGGACCCAAGCTGAGTGCGCTGGAGTGCTTAGAGGGCATGGCATCTGGCCTCTACAGTGAGCTCTTCACCCTTCTCGTCTCTCTGGTGAACAGGTGAGCGCCAGGCAGGGCCCAGGAGCTCTCGGTCTTCCTGGAGTTGGTGCCTCTGCGCCAGTGTGATTGCTGAGGTAGAGCCGTCCGCTGCCAGCAGAGGGCACAGGGGAGCCCATCCTCACCGGCGTCCTGGGCCCCTGGGCAGGGACGGGGCTGCCTGGACAGCAGAGCAGACCAGAGGGCCTGTCTAGTGTGCCGCCTGGCTGGCTCTGACCCAGGCTCTCCCCATGAAGGGCGCTCAAGTCCAGCCAGCACTCGCTGTGTTCTATGATGATCGTGGACACGCCAGGCTTCCAGAACCCAGAGCAGGGTGGGTCGGCCCGCGGGGCCTCCTTTGAGGAGCTGTGCCACAACTACGCCCAGGACCGCCTGCAGAGGCTCTTCCACGAGCACACGTTTGTGCAAGAGTTGGAAAGATACAAGGAGGTAGCCCCTGACCTTGCCTCTGCCTGCCACCCCTCACCCTCAGCCTTGCCCTCTGGCCTTGGCACCTCAGGGAGGGCATCTGTGGATGAGGGAGGCACCACCTTCCTGCTCGCAGCTCCTTCCCAGCTTCTACTCTCCTGTCACTTGGGTCCCCCTGTGCCCTCTGGGAGAGGAGTTTTCCTGTCCCAGGCCACATTCTTACTTGCCGAGAGTTTGCTCTCCAGGAAGCTGAAGACGCATGTAGGGTCCCTGGGAGGTCTTCCATGTTCAAGGCACCCCCCAAGCCCTGGAATGGCCACTGTGCAGTTCCACCTCCCTGCGTGTTGGGCCCGGCCTGCCCTCCCTGTCTCCCCATCTCCTGATGTATTAAGATGGTGATGATTATTCAGAACCCATCCTTAAAAGGGTGTCCCATTTGGGACCAGATCGGGGAACCCTACCTCATGTGGAGGTGAGCTGAAAGAACTGGGAGGATATTCATCTTGGATGAGAGAAGACAGATGAGGAACAGGGGAACTGTCTTCAAGCATTTCAAGGATGATTGTGTGAATTTGAAAGTAGGCTTACTCTGCGTGGCCTGATCAACTGATTGGAATAAAAGGAATCTGTGGATTTAGCTCAGTATAAAAGGAGGCTGGGAGGACTTCGGCTGTCCAAAGACATGCAATGTGGTGCCTTGGGAGGTGGTGAGCATTTGTCAGTCAGGCTGCTTGGGGGGCGAGCCGCTGGGATGGGAGGTCAGCCTTGTTGACCCCAGTGTCCCCCTCCTGGCCTACATGTAGGGCTGTGCCCCCACATGGTCCTGTGCTCACACCCTCTCTACATTCCTTCCTAGGAGAACATTGAGCTGGTGTTTGATGACTTGGAGCCGGCCGTGGATGATTCTGTGACCGCAGTGGACCAAGCCTCCCATCAGTCCCTGGTAGGAACTGCAGCGAGGCCCTGGACTGGCCTTTTCTCCCCTGGCCCATTCCTCTCCCTGGGCAGAGCCCTCCCTGTGGAAGCTGCTCCCAGTGGTGCCACTGAAGGCTGGGGGGCATCCAGCAGTCAGGCCCAGATACCAAGCACTTTAGAGCTATGGGCCCTGCCCTTCAGCTGGTCTGGCCAGGAAGCTGGCACTTTCTTCTGCCCCGGGGCAGTGGACCCCCAAGCCCCAGTGTCTGAGCCAGGGGGGAATGTGCTCTTCCTCTCTTACCAGTAGAGGCATGGGCCCTGTCCTGTACTGGCTGAACCTCTAGTGTATCTGCCAGGACCCTCGTGTTTCCTCCTAAGAGGTGAGGGCCTGACTGGACCCAGATGATACTGTCATTCCCTCCCATTGCCCCCAAGAAAAGGACCCAGTGAGGCCTAGCCGAGAGCTGCAAGCAGGCAGCATGCCACCCAAGCTAGGCAGCAGCGCCCTGCTGTGAAACACCCACCCAGGGGCTGTGTGGATGTGAACCCTTAACCCCTGGGGGCTCGTTTTGTCACCCTTTGGGCTAGTGTCTTGGGCACGTTGCTGCCTAGGGAACCGACCGGTCTGATGAGCACTCGGCATTTGGTGATTATCTTCAGTTAGGGGTGTTACATAAAGTGCTTCATTGGAAAACAGCCCTCTTTGCTAGGCTGCTCATCTCTCTCTGCTCTGGGTCCTGCCTCCCTCTCCCTTTGCCTTGCGGGAATGCCCTGCTGGGCCAGCAAGGGGATGGGGCCCCAGGGAGAGGGAGTGTCCCCTGGGACAAATGCCTAAAGTGCCAAGGTCCACGTCTCCCCAGGAAAGCTAACTTCTCTTTTTCTGACACCGGGGCTCCTGTCGTGGCCTCCCTCGAGAGTCTTTGCCATGCCCAGGAGGTACAGGGAGGTCAGGCCACCTGGTTGAGGAGCAGCAGCGAGGCAGACAATGTGTTTGGATGGAACTTAGCCATCATACCCCTTCTCTGCTGGACCCTTGGTCGCCCATCAATCCCTGGCCACATTCCGCTCCTTCCTGACTCCACACTGACTCCCTTAGACAGCTGTGAGGAAGAGATGCAGGTAGCTAGGGTCAAAGAGAGGGAAAATGGCACTTCTCTTATTTCTCTTGACCTCCAGCCCCTAAAGGCCAGCCCAGAATAGAGTGTGGAGAGGTTCAGTCCTTCTTGCCTAAGGAAGACTTGGGAATCTTCAGACCTGAGGTGCCCACAGGCCTAGTTTCTTCAGCCTGCATGGGGTCATAGAAACCAGAATCCAGTATTTCCACCTTCTCTTGGAAGCCTGGAGCATTTATTGACACTAGACCGATGTTCTGCAGCTGAGTGGTTATTGTTCCCTTTAGATGGGGACGCCTGCTCTCTAGTCGCCCCTGCTCTGCCTTTTTGGGCTGTCACATCCACTCAGTCACCTGTCTTATGCTTTTGGCACTTGAGTTTACAGCCCTGCAGTGTTCCACCAGCAATGCCCTGAGCCCTGTCTGCGTTCTCCCCTCTCAGGGGGACCAGGGTTAATCTCACAGCTGTCACTTATTGAGAGCTTCCTTGCATTATGCTCGCCCACAGACTTTTCTCTCATTTAACCCTCCTGAGAGGTGATGCCCAGGGAATGAGGGCAATGTGGGGTTCCCCCAAGCCTCTTGTGACCTCTGAGAGGAAGAGGATGGAGGAATCTCCAAAGCTGGCTTGGGTTAATAAGCCTTCAGTCTTTGGTGACTGGACATGAGTCCTAGGAATCAGATTCTGCTGTGGGCTCCTCTCTCTCATCTCTTTCTGGCCCCCTCTTTCTCTTTATTTGTTGCCTACCTCCTCCACAAGGTGTCAGCAGTAAGCAGCAGGCGCTGGCATGCAGGAGTCTGTGTGTAACATGTTTATAGTGTGTGGTTGAGGCCAAGGGCCGGCTCCCTTCCCACAGCTCCATGCAACACAGTGGGGTTTGTCTGCTTCTCCATAGGTCCGCTCGCTGGCCCGCACGGACGAGGCAAGGGGTCTGCTGTGGCTGTTGGAAGAGGAGGCGCTGGTGCCAGGGGCCACGGAGGATGCCATCGTGGAGCGCCTTTTCTCCTACTATGGCCCCCAGGAAGGTGACAAAAAAAGTAGGTGGCACCCCAGGAGGGCAGCTCCTCTGCTTCCTTTCCAGAGGACCCACCTATATGGTCCAAGTGGCACTGCCTGGGCTTGCTTACTGAGGCCCCTGGCTTCCTTGGGCCTGTTCCCTGGTGATCTGAACCTTGCTTCTCCACCCCAGGCCAAAGCCCCCTCCTGCACAGCAGCAAACCCCACCATTTCCTCCTGGGCCACAGCCATGGCACCAACTGGGTAGAGTACAGTGTGGCTGGCTGGCTGAGCTACACCAAGCAGAACCCCGCCACCCAGAATGCCCCGCGGCTCCTGCAGGACTCCCAGAAGTAAGAGCAGCACTTTCTCTGCCTGTGTCTTGTCCCCAGGGCTGTTTTGGGCTCCCTGGTCTCTGAGGCCTCCTCACCAGTAGGCAGGCACCATTCCTGAAAGGCAGCAGCCAAGGCCAGGTGGCCTTGAGGGCACGAGGGTGGTCTCCTGGAGTAGAGGTGAGAGAGACGTGATGGGAGGGACCAATAGTCTTAAATTTGAAGACCACCCCCACATTCTTCACAGAAGGAGGAGCAGCCTTAGAAAACCCTCCATCATATCCCTGCCATCCATTCATTTAGTCAGTAGGTGATCACCAGCCACCTACTTGGTGACAGAGCCTCTTCCAGGGACGTGGCAGGTAGCAGTGAATAAAACAAAAATCTGGGCCTAGGTAGAATTTATATTCTAAGGTGGGGGAGACAGAGAATGACCAGTAAATTTAATAAGTAGATTATATAGTATGTTAGAACCTGCTGAGCCCTAACCTCTCCTGCCACATTGGAAACCCCTTCCCCACCCTGGCCCTCCCTGGTAGTGGAACAGAAATGATGGCCCCGCTCTGTCCAATCCCCACCGACCTACCCCCCAAAGGCTTCCACCCACCCTGGTTTTCTCTTTCAACTGTTTGAAGATTTCTCTGCCATTTCTTTGTGTGGGACAGACAGCCTCAGCCCAGATAATCCAGGCCTGTGACCAGAGTGGTATCCTAACAGCTAAAAGGAACGGCCTCCACTGCTCCATGAATGTGAATTCTTTTCCTCCTTTGCCTTCCTGCCTCTGGCAGAAAAATCATCAGCAACCTGTTCCTGGGCCGGGCGGGCAGCGCCACAGTGCTGTCAGGCTCCATTGCAGGCCTGGAGGGTGGGTCCCAGCTGGCACTGCGCCGGGCCACCAGCGTGCGGAAGACCTTCACCACGGGCATGGCAGCCGTCAAGAAGAAGTCACTGTGCATCCAGATTAAGCTACAGGTGGTGAGTGTGCCAGCCCAGGCCCTGGGGCCCTTCCTTGCCCCTGGCAGGTAGTGCCCTGTGCATCCTGGGCACACTCGGGTCACCTGGTGCCCACTCAGCATCCCACCTGACTTGGTTGCTCCTGGTGGGGTCCTCTTTGCTGCTGTCTGAGTGGCCATTCAGGCCTGGTGAGGGCAGGGTTGTCCAGGCTTATCATGTCCTGGCAGTGGTGGGACACCTGCCATCCTGTGAGGAGTGGATATGGATAAGCTGGCACAGGTCCCTGCTCTCCTGCGCACAGGCTGGGCCATCAGAATCCACTGAGGGCTGTCCCTTCCCCTTTGGCAGGATGCTCTCATTGACACCATCAAGAAGTCAAAACTGCATTTCGTGCACTGCTTCCTGCCTGTGGCGGAGGGTTGGGCTGGGGAGCCCCGTTCTGCCTCCTCCCGCCGAGTCAGCAGCAGCAGCGAGCTGGACCTGCCTTCGGGAGACCACTGCGAGGCTGGGCTCCTGCGGCTCGATGTGCCTCTGCTCCGTGCCCAGCTCCGTGGCTCCCGCCTGCTTGATGCCATGCGCATGTACCGCCAAGGTAGGGCCTCCTTCCCTCTCAACTCCTGCTTCTCTTTTCTGGAGCAGCCTCTGCCCCTCTCTCCTCCCAGTGGGACCCATGGGGCTAGAGGGGTGCTGTTCGCTTCCCGGGACTAGCCCCAGATCTGTTTTCTGCTCTGTGGGGTCACTCATCTCATCCTCCAACCGAGTCTGGCCCTTTCTCCTTTTCTTTCCACCCTGTCAGCTCCCCTCTTCTTCTTCTCCCTTCCCCACTCCAGTCCTCTTTGTCCCCTCCCCTCCCTGCCCCACATGCCCTGTCCCCCTCCCCTGGTTTGGATGGGTCAGCCCTGCTCACAGCAGCAGACCCGTGCCCGCACAGAGCCATCTGCACAGGGGCAGCACCTACCTGCAAGAGCAGGCAGGTGGCTAGACCAGCCCTGAAATGAGAAATGAGGTACTCCAAATTCCCAAGAAAAGTCAGACAGACCCCTTTTACAGACCTATATGGAGGAGGGGACAGAAAGGGTGATGGTAATAGTACTAAAGGTCCTTAGAGCCTATCAGGCACTTTTCTAAACTTGTCACACACATTAACGCATTTAATCCCGATGATAACCTCATGAGATGTAGGTACTAGTATTGTCTGCAGATGAGGAGAGTGAGGCTACAGAGAGAGTGAGTAGCTTGCCCAAGGTCATACAGCTCTTTAGCAGAGCAGGATTTGACCCAAATATGGCAGCTTCCAAGTTCATGCCCCTGGAGTAGGGCTTTGTTTGCCTGAGAAGTTATGAATTGGTTTCTGCTCTTTTTCCCTTAGCTAGAAGAGTATGCAGGGTCCCACCCACCCACAGCCAGGTCCCCTTAAGCATCCCCTTGGCCACTGTCATTTTTCCTTAGCAGCCAAAGCCAGGAAAGGGCTCCCTGCCCTGCTCTAAATAAATCATTGATCTGTCCCCATGTCTTGATATGGAGTTGGTGTTTATTATTTCAAAACCAGATTGTTACCGCTCTGAACCAAAATCAATGTGCTTTACTCAAACAAGCAGATCAATGAGGCCAGCAGCAGGTCCCTCTCCCCTCACCCAGCCCCCAGCCAGCATCGATAGCACTGATGATTAATTAAGATGCCAGGCGTCCGGACCTGCTATCCTGGCCCATCAATTTAATTGCAATTCAGATACAATCAATAGCTCACTTTGTCTTGGCCCCACAGCGGCCCCCGCCTCCTGTTTCAATTATCGGGCACATGCATCAGCCTCCTCTCCCAGCTGGAGGATTTCCCAGAGCTGGCTGGGCCAGTATAGGGGAGCAAGCCCCCAGCTGGCTGTCAGGAGCTGCTCTGCAGTCCACTTCTGCCTCCAGCTGCAGCCTTTGTGACCTTGAGCAAGCCAGTCGCTCCACCTCTCAAGCCTCAGTTTCCACATCCAGAAGATGAGTTGTATCTGGTCTAAGACCCCCTGTCAGTTATAAATTCTGTGATTCTGTAGGAGTGGGTCTCTTGCTCCTGTAAGGCAGGCTGTAGTGTCCTTAGCTCACTCGGGGTAACCTTCCACTGGTGACCGTCCTGACCTCGCCTTTGCCCTGGCCTCACGCCCAGACAGTCGGGGTCTCTGTTAGAGGAACACACCGTAGGAAAAGAGAATTGCAAGTCTTTTTGGTCACCTGGCCTTGGGCTCAAGGTCAGGATGGGGGCAGGAAGGGAGAGCTTTCTGATACCCAGCTTCAGGGAATGAGGAAGGGAGCACCTCATTAAACACCCTCCACCTAAGCCACGCTGTGCTTTCTATTTATTTTCTCACTTAAGCCTGTGACTGCCACGCAAGAAAAGTGGTAGGTCCCCCATTTAGAGATGATGGAACCAAGGTTGAGCCAGAGGTTGAGTGACTCGTCCAAGGTCACATGATACTGAGAGCCAGGCCCAGGATTCCACCCCAAAGCCCATGATCTTTTCCTCTCAGCTACTCTCTGATGTCCATTTTTTTTTTTCCTTATTAAGTCCTCAGGACATTGTTAGATGTGGAGGCTAGAGAGCATCTTAGAGATCAGCCAGGCTTTTATCTCCACAGCATGACTTCCAGGCAGTCAGCCCTCCTGTTTGCACACCTCACAGACAAGGAACTTGGTTCCTTCTAAAAGAACCTGCTCCCTTTTTAAAGCTTGCAGCCCACTGTGGGGCAGCCCTAATTGTCCTCTCAGCCTCCTATCTCTTACCCCTTCCTCCTTTCTCCGCTCTCATTTCCTGGGCCCACCTCCACTGCAGGCTCTCCTGCCCCCTCAGTTTCTTCCCCTTCAGGTGACTCCCTATGAGCTGCCTGGACGCCAGTGGCTTTTGGGTGTGCTGGGAGCAGGTGAGGCACTGGTGGGTCTGGCTCTGGGCTGCTCTCTGTCTAGGTTACCCCGACCACATGGTATTTTCTGAGTTCCGCCGCCGCTTCGATGTCCTGGCTCCTCACTTGACCAAGAAACACGGGCGCAACTACATCGTGGTAGATGAAAGGCGGGTAGGTCTGGGCCCTAGAGCCCCATCAGACCTGCATCCCTCTGCTCAGACCCTTCTGAGCAGCTGCCCTTCCTTCCCTAGAGACAGCCTGGCTGGCCCTTGCTCAGGCTCCTGGTTTTGACGGACCAGGGCCAGGACGGGGGTGCATGGCAGCCAAGCTGTGGTGGTGGCAAAAAGGCAGCCCCAGGCATGGACTGTAGGAATTGGAGAAGAGCCACCCTCTTGGAGGCCCAAGGTTGGGGCATCTGCTCTCTGGTGTGCCAGACAATCATCCAGGAGCCTCCCAGGGAGCAGATTAGAGCTAGTGTTTTCGATGTGTCCCCTGGTAGCGCCTGTGCCCCCCGCCGTGACCTCCACATCAGGCACTAGTTCCTGCAGCAAGAAGCTGCCACAGGGTGGAGGAAGCATCTCTCCTAGGAGGAAGACTGGTATAGCAAACCTCCCGGGAGCAGGGTGAGCCGAAGGCTCCTGGGGCCCTTGTCAGCCCATGTTGGTGAATTCAGGGCTGCAGAAGAGGACATCTCCCTGCCATTCCAGGCTGTCCCCTTAACCCCCATTCCAGCCTCCCACTCACGGCTGCACCTAGCACCTTGTCATCACTGGAAACGCTCTACCTTGGGAATCTTAAATTGCAGCTCAGCCTTCTCCAACCACAGCTCCTACCTGTGCGTCTCACTCCTCTCTTCCTCTCAGGACACCTGCTCTTTGACTCCATCGAGACCTCTCATTTTCTCTTCTCTGGCCATTCCCTTCTGACTCCACTTCCTCTTCCACTCAGTCTTGACACCATGGTCCAATCCTCTGGTCACCTGGCCTTCATCGCCCTCAGCTCTCCTGAGCCTCCCATAGCACCTGCCCTGCCTATCCCCACCGTGACGGGCTGAACTTTGGGCATCTGCACCCCTCAGTCTGGGGCTCCCAAGGTCTGTGGGAGAAAATTACACAAATGCATGGACTTGAACTCCTACAGGTTCATGGTCTCCAGCCTCATCTGGGCTCTAGGAGTGGCCTGGCAAGTTTTCCACGTGCTTCATCCTTACCTGGCTCCTCTTCCACATTCCTTTCCTGCTATTCCATTCTCCATCTTTTTCCTCAAATCCTCCCCCACCTTCTAGGTCAGTTCTTGCCTCCAAGCACTAATAAAATTGAGGCTCCAGCTTCCTCCCCTGCCTTCCTCCTCTGTACACTTCTCAGGTGCCTCTTTCTTGCCAGTCCTCCCATGCAGGTGGAAGAGGTGTCCCTCCCCTCGCCCAGTCCCGTCTTCCTGAGCCTTTGAACCATTCCCTTTGGTCTCCCCAGAGACCTACTCTGTCAGTGGTAACTCTTCCCTCACCTGTTCTTCAGCATCTCCTCCCTTGGCTCTTTTCTCTCAGTGGAGAAACATTCTGCAGACATCGCTCTTGTGAAGGAGCCTCCTACCAGGCTCTTTTGAAGGAGCTTCTCCCAGGCTGGGCTACTGTCTCTCTCTCCCCTTCCCTGTGCCATAAGTATCTTCCTCCTGCCGCCCCACTCCTCCACCATTCATTCCTCCACCCACAGCAGCCCGGCGCCTGTCCCTGGGACTAGTCTTCCCATCTCCCCACACGCTCCCTGTTGCCAGAGCTAATGTGCATCTTTCTGAGCTTCTTAGCAACATGTGATTCCATTGACAACCCTGTTCTTTTTTAAAACACTTTCTGCTCAGCTTCTTTTGCTGCCACTCCTGGTTTTTCCCTTGTCCTTCTGAGATTCCCTTCCTCCACTTGCCCCTGAAGTCAACATCACTCTCTTCTTTAAGGCCCACTCCTTGGACCGGTGTGTTTTCCATCCTACAACCTCTTCCTGGGCTATTTACACCCATCGCTTCAATTATCATATGTATTGATGGCTGCCAAGTCAATACCCCCAGCCCAGGCCTCTCTCTTGAACCCCAGATGTGCATTTCTATCTAGCTGCTTTCTGGACTTCTCTACCTGTGCACCTAATAGCACCACCAGCTCAGCGTGTTCAAACCAAACCGATTGTATCTCCTCCCAAACATACTCTTTCCCTGTATCCTCTGCCTTGCAGAATGGCACTGTGACCTACTGAGTTACAGAAGTCAGAAAAACCTCAGTGTCGCCCCTGGATTCCTCCCCACAGCGACCCCTCCCCCACACCCTGCCAGGCTCTGTCTCCCCCCATCTTCCACCTCTCTTCCCTGTGGGTTAGGCTCCAGCCTTCCCTTCTGTGACATACCACACTGGCTCCCTAAGGGGGTCCTCAACCATCCTCCCACCTAGTGCCGGTGGGACCTCTGGAAAATGCAGATCTAACCCTGCCCCCCGAGAGAAGCGCCCAGGGCCTCCACGGGCCTTGGCCACCACCCAGTCTCTAGTTGCCCCCAGCTGCCACCTCCTTCATTCCAGTTCTGCTGAACTATTTGGAGTTTCTTCAGGGTGTTCTGCTTGGGCTTCCCTGCCTTTGCTCGTGCCTGTCCCTTTGCCCAGAATGCCCTTTCCCCTACTTTAGCCAATCCTTACTTGTATCTGAAGATTCAGCACAAGCCACACATCCTCCAGGAGGCCTTCCACGGTCCCCTGTCTGACTTAGATGCTTCCTCCTCTATTCACTTGTCTCCCTCCCTGGCAAGATGGCATATTCCTATTGACTCTAACCCAGGGCACACTGGAAGCTTTAGCTGAATAAATAATGGGCAGTCTGATGGAGGACGCAGGAGGGCTGTGTGCGGATGGGGAGCCCCAGGGCTTCCTGACAGGCCTCTCTCTGCAGGCTGTGGAGGACCTGCTGGAGTTCTTGGACCTGGAGAAGAGCAGCTGCTGCATGGGCCTGAGCCAGGTGAGCTGTCCCTGCAGGAAGGCGCCCTGTGGTCGCCCTGGCCCGACGGCAGGCCCTCTGCTCCTGCTCTCCCTGCTCGCCTTGCCCCGTCTCACTTCAAGAGTCTCCTGAGAACCCTTCTGAGTCCTGCCCCCCCACCCTTCGTCCCCTCACCCCCAGCCACTCGGAGGCTGTCCCTCCTCCCAAGCCGCCTTCAGGGCTGAAGACCAGGAAGTTAGATATTCCAGCTGCAGCAAACTTGACCTTCTACCTTCTGAACAACTGGCTAGTCCAGTACCATGAACACTTCTGCAATGTCCAGAAGGAGCAGGTTGGAAGGTGGCCCTGAGTCCTGGTGTGGGGAGTGGGGAACAAGAAGGGGCAAGCTGGACAAAGCAAGAACGCAGCAGACAGAGCACCCCAGAGGGCCGGCAGGGTCCCCAAAGAGCTCTGGGCATGGCGAGGTTGTGCTTCTACAACCTGCCCTCAGGCTGGATTCCTCATGTGAATGGAACGTGATGTATAAAAGGCAGGCACACCCAGCCTGGGTGCCAGTCTGCCGCATAGTCCCACACCAGAGGCCCAGCTGATCATCCGTCCTGTGGGGCAGGGAGCCCTGCACACCCTTCCCTCTCAAGACTGGGAGGCTTGACAGGCAGCATCCACGTATGTGCTCCAAGGTCTTCGGGGGGGGAGGAAGAGCAGTTGGGAGCCACAAAGAAGGTTCTGGACCTGACATCTGTCTGCAGAAAGGGAAGGAACTCCAGGTCCCAGGGCCTTGTGGGAGCGTGAGGTGGAAGGGGATGCTTGCAGAAAAGGCTTGAGTGTTCTTGGCTGCTCTGTTCTCTCTGTTCTGGATCTCTGAGTCACATTCTTGGTTTCTGCTGCCCTTCCCCTCACCAGGAACCCCCTTCCTGTCCCCTCACCGTATCTGTGTCTCTGCTGTCCCTGGTTTTCCCTATTCCTTTTGACCCTGGCAGCCCCTGCCAGATGCCAGCTGGGCTTCCTCCCTGGGACACCTGCAGTCAAAGGTTTCACTTCTGCCTCTCAGTCTCTCCCAGGTGGGCTCCTGCCTCTCCAGCAGGCTGAGCTGCTGCTGGCCAGCATTGGGGGTGACCCTCCCCGAGGCATGTCCTGGGCAGGAGTGGGCCATACAGGCTGGTCCTCATCCCGCTGCCATCTCGGGCCCTCTGCACATCACTGAGGCGGGTGAGCCCTAGGGCCCACTCGTGCTCAGGGTGGAATTAGGGGCAGTCAGATGTTCTCTCAGGGTGGAATTAGGGGTAAAAGTCAGATGGCAGAGAAATTTCAGGGCTCTGGACTGTGGTTGACACTGGCTGGTGAGTGAGGATCCCTGTGTGTGTGTCACATTGCTTCAGAGGAGGGGGCATCTCCACATGAGCCCACAAGAACCTGGGGAGTCAAGTCCGGGGCTCGGGGGAGTCTGAGAGCCTCCTGTGTTATTTGTAAAATTTTTATGGATGGGTATGTTGGGGAAGAGATAGCCCTGAGCTTTCACCTCCTACTCAAAAGGACTCTTAACCCCACAAACGTACAGCTGTCCCAGAGAGGTTTGAGGCTCACTGCCCTAGTCTCTAGACTATTCTTTCTCTTCTCATTGTGTTTTGGGGCCATTCTCCATTGGCCCCTGACTCTGCCGTAGCCCAACAGCTGCACATGCTGATCACTAGCATATGCATCCACTCTTGGGAGACCTGGACATTCTCCACCCCCTGGTGGAATCTCAGGCTCACACTCTGTGGGAAATCAAGGTTCAGGTAAGGCCCAAGACCCACAGGAGATCCCAGGTGATCAGCCTGCACGTGGAATTTGGGGAAATGTCACAGAGGACGGAACTGCTTTTTTCCCGAGCCAGCCTTAGGGGACCAGGTCTCTGCGCAGTCGCCAGAGGCAAAGCTTTCTCAGCAGAAAGTCTAGGCCTCATTCCCACTTCTTCCCTGAAGGGAGGCCTGGGGATATGGTACCTATTGGTTCTGAGTGTTTCCTGTGGAGTTCACATCTTCTCTTTGCCCTATGAAAGGGAATTTTCTGGGCAAGGCAGAGGTGGGCATAGCCCTAGGTGTCCCTTTGCCCTCTCTAGAGATACTAGAGTCTTTTTTTCACTTGACCATTATCCACCTTATTCCTCTCTTAATAGGGAAATTACCCAGCCAGCTCAGGACACCAACAAGGGAGAGGAAAGGCTGGGTGTGGGGGCACTAGATGGTTCCTCTCCAGCCTGCCCTCCAGCCCCCAAACCTGTATGACAGGTCCCTTGCCTGGGCCAACCCCCACCCACCCCACTGGCTTTTTCATGAGATGAAACCTGGGTGTGTGTAGGGGGGTGGGGCACATGAAAGAAGAGACTGTCTGAAATGAAACTGAGTAGGGAGGGGGCAGAGTTGGGTCTCCCCCACTACTTCCTGGACCTTTCCCTTCTCACACACACACCCCTCCATCTGCTTCACCTGATCCCGGGCAGCCAGGTGCCAAAGGTGCTGGGCCCTGCGGTGGGCTCTGGGCACAGGGGGCGTGGACAGTGTTTTTGTCCTGGGGGAAGAAGCCACCAGAGAGGTTGGGAGGGGCATTCTCTCCCATTTGACCAGTAGCTGCCTCATTTCCTTCTTTTCCCAGATATCGCCCCTTTGGCTTTCCTCTACTTTCACCCCTCTTTGAAGTCAGATTTCCTACCTTACTCCACCCCTTCGGAAACCTCCCCGGCCCCCAGCCTGGCCCTCCCTGCTCAGCCTTCCTGCTGTGGCCTCTTCTTGCTCCTTCCCTCCTCTCTTGGATACTTGGATTTTCAGGCTTTTCCTAAGCCAAGGCCACCCTCCAGCACCTGCTGGTTTCCTCTTCTGGGCTGCCCCCAGCCCAGTCTCCAGCCTTCACCCGGCCTGCTTCCCCACAGGTGTTCTTCCGGGCAGGCACGTTGGCACGGCTGGAGGAGCAGCGGGATGAGCAAACCAGCAGGAACCTAACCCTGTTCCAGGCAGCCTGCAGGGGCTACTTGGCCCGCCAGCACTTCAAGAAGAAAAAGGTGCTGCTCCGGGGATATCCCTATCCCACTCCCCAGCCTAGACAGGCAGAGCTGAGCTCCTAGGGCGGGCTGGGGGACTCAAGGGAACATGTCGGGGCAGGAGAGGCTGGTCTGGAGGCTCTGAGTAATTGTTATCTGGGGGAGAAGATGCAGAGATCTCCCCTGGGCACCATGCCTGGGCCTGGGTAGGCAGTGGACACTCCCTGGTGCCAGCAAGAGTGCTGGTGTGCCCTGCAGAGGGACCACGTGGCCTGGTAGGGCTGGGGGACGGGGGGAAGCAGGGCCCAGGCAAAGGTGGGCTCTGGATCATAGGCTGCTCCATGAAGATTAAGGAGCTGTGTCAGCGACTCCTTTTCTTATTAGCAAGTCCATAAAACAGTGAGCACTGCCACCTCTTGTGTTTCAGCAAGATTAGGTTTTATAGCACATCTAGGCCAGGGTGCTAGAAATAATCAGGCAGCAAATAAAGCAGATGAAATTATTCCTAATGACAGTGGAGCAGTTAGTGCCCAGTGCGGTGCTCCCAGGGCCAGGCTCTCTGCCACCCACTCCCTGAGGGATGGAGGGAGGCTGAGGGCAAGGGTGGCAGAGGGAGAGTTTGACTCGGGTCTGGTGGCCGGAGGAGCAGCCCAGCCACGGTGCTGGTGGGGGTGCAGATCCCAGCTTGGCTTGGGCCTGAGAGCCCTGCTCTGTGCCCCCGACCCCGCACCCACCTAGATCCAGGACCTGGCCATTCGCTGCGTGCAGAAGAACATCAAGAAGAACAAAGGAGTGAAGGACTGGCCCTGGTGGAAGCTCTTCACCACCGTGCGACCCCTCGTCGAGGTACAGCTGTCCGAGGAGCAGATCCGGAGCAAAGACGTAAGTAATAGCCCAGGCAGGGCCAAGACACTGGGAGGGAAAGGACCGTAGTTCATCCACATGGGCAGGGGTCTTGCCAACTTGTCTTGGGCTTCCAAGTAGTCCAAGTCCAGAGAGCTGGTATCCTTGAACTATGCCCATCAAACAGAAGGTATCCCCCTGGGGTGCTGGCTGAGCCCCCAAAGAGCCTCTTAGGATAAAAATCTCAGGCATCCTCAGCATATGAAGACGGGTCTAGATATAGGAGCCCCTCAGAGGTAGTGGCTTTCTGTTCCCTGTGTCCTGGCCTGAGCTTCACCAGCTTCACTCACCCGAGGGTGCAGCTCCCAGGCCCAACCTCTCACAGCACCTCTGGCTCGCTTTGCCCTCCTCACTGGCCCTAGGAGGAGATCCAGCAGCTGCGGAGCAAGCTTGAGAAGGTGGAGAAGGAGCGGAATGAGTTGCGACTCAGTAGTGACCGGCTGGAGACCCGGGTGAGTGACTCCCAGCACCCCACAGGGTGGCCCATCACCCCAGAGCGCCCTTCTCCACCAGCGTTCCAGCTGAGTGAGGCCGGCATTTCGACTGGTGGCAACTCCCTCCCCGCCACTCCAGATCTCAGAGCTGACATCGGAGCTGACAGATGAACGTAACACAGGAGAGTCCGCCTCCCAGCTGCTGGACGCGGAGACAGCAGAGCGGCTCCGAGCCGAGAAGGAGATGAAGGAGCTGCAGGTGAGGGCTGGCTGGGGTGAAGATAGCCACGCCAGTGGCTGCCACACTCTAGCACCCAACTCCTCCACCCCTGAACAGGTGGTGTCTTTGCCACTAGCCCAGCACCCTCCTCTGTCCTGGGTAATGAGCATGTGACTGTGGTCTGGGTGGCTCAGGGGCATAGGTGGGACTGGGTGACAGGGTGGCACAGCATACCCCATGAGCCCTCTTCCGCAGACCCAGTACGATGCACTGAAGAAGCAAATGGAGGTAATGGAGATGGAAGTGATGGAGGCCCGTCTCATCAGGGCAGCTGAGATCAATGGGGAAGTGGATGACGATGATGCAGGTAGGTCTGAGGCTGGAAGAGCTCGGCTGTGGCCCCAGTGGCAGGCTGTGATGCCCACCCCTGGGTAGCCACTCGCCTTATCCAGACCTGTCTCCTATCGGGAGGGCCATTATAAGGCTGAAGTGAAATTAACAGATGAGAAAGTGGAGGTGCCAGTAAATGCAGGGGATTATCACTGAGGGCTGTGACTATGATAATGACAATGTCTGAGACCATGGTCTGGCAGCCTCTGGGGAGAAGACAGCACACACAGCCACGTCACTCTCTAGTCTTCTCCCCCAGTGGCTCCTTTGCCTTGAGAGAAAGCCATCCCTGTCCCCTCCTTCTCCTCTGCCTCTTCTTGGGGACTCTCAGCAGCTCAGTCCTGCCTTGTCTTCCCCCAACCCTGCAGGCGGTGAGTGGCGCCTGAAGTATGAGCGAGCTGTGCGGGAGGTGGACTTCACCAAGAAGCGGCTCCAGCAGGAGTTTGAGGACAAGCTGGAGGTGGAGCAGCAGAACAAGAGGCAGCTGGAGAGGCGGGTGAGTCTGGTGGAAGGAGCAGAGGACTGTGTCCAGGAGGGACTAGGAGGGGCTCCATGCCACCCAGTGAATGTCCCGAGGCTGGCGGGCCCTGGAGCAATAGAGAAGTGCTAGTGCGTTAGCCTGTCTGTGCAGGGTACAACCAAGGACAAACTATAGTTCAGAGTGCCTTAGGTTTCCTGGATGTCCTGACTGCCTCATCCCTGGTCTCCACCTCTCTCACCCACCTCCTTCTCCTCACCTTCTCCACCAAACTCCTGGGCCTCTCAATGGCTGCCAACCCTGCACCCGATCTCGGCCCTAGCTCGGGGACCTGCAGGCAGATAGTGACGAGAGCCAGCGGGCCCTGCAGCAGCTCAAGAAGAAGTGCCAGCGGCTGACGGCTGAGCTGCAGGACACGAAGCTGCACCTGGAGGGCCAGCAGGTCCGCAACCATGAGCTGGAGAAGAAGCAGAGGAGGTGCGTGAGCCTGCTGCCCTGGATGCGGAGGACTTCCTAGAGCAGCCCCAGGCAGGGCTCCCTGCCTCCTGCTCCAGGGAGGCAAGAAGGAAGGGCCTGAATGTGGCCAGGGGCCTTGCCTGCATGGTCCCTTGTCCTGGCATGTAAACGGGTCTCCCTCCTGACCTCTGAGGGGCACTCAGCCACATCCCCACTGAGGGCCTGCTCAGGCCTCCAGCTCTCAGACCCTTCCCGGACCCCTTCTGCCCAGCGTGTGCCTGTCACCCTGCCTTGGCCAGACGGGAGCTACTCCACCTTGGCCCTGGCCCTTGCCTCCGCCCAGCTCCCCATCTCTCCCTTGTCTCAGCAGCATGAACACACACTCTCCTAACTAATGTCGTTAAACTACCGTGCCACTTCCATCTCATTATGGTAATGACACAGAGGAGGGTGTAGCCCTCAGAGGAGAAAATCCAATCTAAATTAATTTCCCTGGCTGGGGATGGGAATGGGATGCCTTTATTAGCAACACCGGGGAACCCACACACCCTGGGAACTGCAGGGTGCCCGGGGAGTGGGAACAGCGCCTGGCTCCCTTCTGCAGGGGAGGATTCTCAGCAAAGGCACCAGTTACCTTTGTGAAGGGGCAGCCCCACACCCATGACCTTGGGGTGAGAAGTGCTGAGCTGAGTCCCTGCAGTGACCCTGGGTTACCCTCAGTCTCCTGGGCTTAGTACCGTTCTCCCAGCTGGGCTGTTGCTTTGCGGGGAGAGAGAGAAATAGGAAGATCTTACATTTCTCCTGCCTGGCACCGTGACTCTTCTCATCTGCACCCCAGCCCTCCCTTTCACCTCGAGGTGGGCACCCTTAGTGGGACCCCCTGCCCAGCACCCCAGTGACAGTGCCAGCTTGGCCTATTTACCATCTTGCTGCACTCCCCACTGGGCAACTTATTAGGTTTCAGCTGCCTGGGGATTTTTTTTTTTTACTTTTTTTTTCTTTTGATGTGGGCTTGGGATGGGGAGAGCTGTTCACTTTTCAACAGGAACCTGATTAACTATTCAAGGAAGGTGTTAAGAGGAATTTCAGCAATTTGCTCTGTATGTAGAGTCATTGGGCAGGAAATGGAAGACTGGGGAGTGGAGGAGTGAGGAAAGAGGCTCCTGACTGTGGACCGTGTGCCTGTTGGAGCATGCTGCCAGCTGGGCACAGTGGGACTGCTGGCTCCTAGCCCGGTGTGCAGTGTCCCTGTGGGGACTCAAGTACTGCCAGGACAGGTGGGCCTGGTGCCCAGAGGTGGGGGCAGAAGGCCACATGCTCCATCTAGAGTTGCTGAGCTGAATAGTGGAAAGTGAGTTAGACAAGGCAGGATGTCCCCTGCTACCCATTCTGATGCCCACTCTGCTCCCACCATGCTCCCTCATTCGTTGATCTGCTGAGATGGAAAAGGTTGAGACTTAACCTCTGGGAAAAGTTCATCCACCTCTTCTCCGGGAAGCAGTCTTTGGGTCCCCCCATCCCAGACCAGGTTGCTCAGCAGGGCCTCGGTGGCCTGACCTGTAACCCCCGAATGTCACCTTACCACTGGCCCCAAGTTTGGGCTGCAAGAGTCCTCACACTCCTCGTGTCCTGTCCACTTCTGTGGCTCTGCTTCTGGCAGCTTCAGGGGCTGGAGGTCCGGGCGCTTCCCTTACCTGAAGGAGCCACTTGGCCACGCACCCTCACAGGTTTGACAGCGAGCTCTCCCAGGCGCAAGAGGAGGCCCAGCGGGAGAAGCTGCAGCGGGAGAAGCTACAGCGGGAAAAGGACATGCTCCTTGCCGAGGCTTTCAGCCTGAAGCAGCAACTGGAGGTATGTGGGCTGCCCACCACCCCCTCTCCGGCCCTTCCCCTCCCAGCGAGGGCCAGCCTCACTTTCTCTTGTACTTCAGGAAAAAGACATGGACATCGCAGGATTCACCCAGAAGGTTGTCTCTCTGGAGGCTGAGCTCCAGGATATTTCTTCCCAAGAGTCCAAGGATGAGGCCTCTCTGGCCAGGGTCAGGAAACAGCTCCGGGACCTGGAGGCCAAGGTCAAGGATCAGGAAGAGGAGCTGGATGAGCAGGCGGGGACCATCCAGATGTTGGAGCAGGTACTGGAGGGCTTGGACAGGGAGGCATCACCATCCCCACAGCTAACCTGGGGTGTGGGCCAGAGAAGGGCAAGATCCCACATGCCTTCATTCATTCCTTTATTTACTCACAAAATGTGAGCACCAGATCTGTGCCAGCCACAGCATGAAAATAATCAGCTTTCATGCAACTTTCCGCAAGAACAAATCTTGATTGAGCTGTAGTGGTGAGGGGCTTAGGATGCATAGCAGCCGGCAGGCCAAGAGCCCACCCAGCCTACTACTGAGCCCCCGTGTCAGTTCAAGGAGCTAGAACCTGGAGGCCAAATGGAAAAGCTGCAGGATTGTCCCCACCCCTGGCAGCCTTCTATGGGCCTGTGCCAGACATCTAGTAAGGGAGTTCAGCTTCTCTGGAGGAGCCAGCTGCTGTAGGAGCAAGGTGGGAGCAAAGGTAACTGCTGGCAAAAATGTTCTCTGCTCCTGAGCCTGGGAAGGGCTGCCCATTGGGGTTCAGAGGGGTCAGGGCATGACTGGGAAAGGAACCCAGTCCCTACCCCCTACCAAACTCTAGGCCAAGCTGCGTCTAGAGATGGAGATGGAGCGGACAAGACAGACCCACGCTAAGGAGATGGAGAGTCGGGATGAGGAGGTGGAGGAAGCCCGGCAGTCATGTCAGAAGAAGGTAAAGCAATGGGTGCTTACCTGTCCAGTACAAACACTGTTCTCCCATCACCACTTTAAGGGGTTTTCTGTTTCCCTGCCATAGCCACACTGTCATCCCTTGCCATTCTGAACCAGGAATCTCTTCTCGGGATCCTGGCTGAGATGTGTGCTTTCAGGGTCTGTAGAGAAGCCCAGGCCCTTGAGGAACAAGTGTGCCCTGCTTTCTGTGCCAAATGGCAACCCACCCTGTGTCCCTGTGCAGCCAGTTCTCCTGGCCCGGTGGGGCCTGCCCACCCTGGAACAAGGGCTTCTACTCTGGCTCTGGGCTGCTGTGCATGGCCTGCCATCCTACTGCTCCCTGCCAGCCTGCTTTGAAACCCTAGGAACGTAACATTCAGGGTCTGACCCCTGTGGAGGTCACCCATGCTCAGTCTGTCCCACTGTTTTCCCTGGATGGGGGGTCCATAGGGGAAGGGAACTGGCTGGCATGGGACGCCGAAGGGACTGATGTGCCTCTGTCCCCATGGTGCCCAGTTAAAACAAATGGAAGTGCAGCTCGAGGAAGAGTATGAGGACAAGCAGAAGGTGCTGCGCGAGAAGCGGGAGCTGGAGAGCAAGCTCACTGTGCTCAGTGACCAGGTGAGTGGGGACTGCCACTGGGCCCTGGCCAACACCCGCCCAACAGGCCTTAGGGGTGGGAATGTTGGGCCCAGAAAGCTGGGAATGGGGAGGGGTGCAGGCTCCATGCGGCCCACTGTCATCCCTTGTGGGATGGGAGTCATCACCACACACTGCGCACCAGGCGTCTCTCTCTCTCTCTCTTTGGGCCGGTCTTGTCTTCCCTTTCCTTTCTCTTTCTTCCCTTCCTCCCTTCCTCCCTTCCTTCCTTCCCCCCTTTTTCATCTAGCCATTTCTCATTGACCCGCATGATCCTGGTATTCCCACTGCCCTTGCTTGTAGGGTAACTGAGAATGAGGGCAGAGGTGAGGAGTGGGCTTGGGGAAGGTAGGAGGGAGCCCTGTGGTGAAGCCCACACTCCGACTTTTGGTCTCCACCCAGGTGAACCAGCGGGACTTTGAGTCAGAGAAGCGGCTGCGGAAAGACCTGAAGCGCACCAAGGCCCTTCTGGCAGATGCCCAGATCATGCTGGACCACCTGAAGAACAATGCCCCCAGCAAGAGGGAGATAGCCCAGCTGAAGAACCAGGTATCTGCAGAGTGGAAGTCATCAGCTCCAGGGGCAGCTGAGCTGAGTTTTTTTCAGTTCTCTCTCTCCCTGCTGAGTTCTTGGGAGGGAAGGTGACAGAGAAGGGGAAAGAAGCCACTTGCAGCAACCAGACTCCCCAGGGTCTGTGCATGCTTTACAGCATGGCTGCCAAGCCCCAGGATGGTGTAAATGGGACGTGACCCCCACAGTCCCTGCCATGGGAGAGGCCTGTGCATGGATAACACACCACAGTCCCGGGATACAAAGTGAACAGAGGAAGAGAAGGAGGGTGCTGGGGCTCCCTCTCCCCTGCAAGCACCCTGCACAGCCCTCCTGCCCCCAGGGAGTGGCTGACGGCTCCCTCGGGGGCTGGGGTGGCTCTGTATCTAGCTGGAGGAGTCTGAGTTCACCTGTGCAGCAGCTGTAAAAGCGAGGAAAGCAATGGAGGTGGAGATCGAGGACCTGCACCTGCAGATCGATGACATCGTCAAAGCCAAGGCTGCGGTGAGGATCTGGGTGTGCAGGGCCAGCCAGGAGAGCCATGATGGTGGCTCTCTGCCCCCAGAGCAGGGCCCTTCCGCAGCCTGGCCCCTTCCCACCTTTATGCAAAAGAGCAGGCCTCCTCTCCTCTGCTTCCCCCCACTCAGCACAGGCCCAGAGGGGGCGAGGTGAAAGGAGGGAGCTGGCAAGGACCCATCTCCCTGTTTTAACCATGGCCTGTGGGAGCTGGGCCACAGGCCCTGACACCATAAATAAAGGCAACTAATGTAGCCAAGGGATGTAAACCGATTCGTGGAAGCACCAACAGGAGGATGGGATGGCTCTGTTGCCCCCCTCTTTCCCTGGCCAGCCTACTGTCTAGCCCAAGTGGCAGCTAATTAGAGCTCTTATTTAGTGCCCCCCTTTTCTTTCCCCGCCTTCCCCATGGCCCATCCTCCAGCTGAGAAGTCATTACTGGGCTGCAACCACCAGCCCCCCCTCTGGCAGGGAATGGGGTGGGGGAGGAGGCTGGGCTTGGCTCTGGGCTCCCTGGCCCCCAGTTAGTCACTGACTGCAGAGAGATGCCAATCTCCTGGGCTTGATTTATCCCTGTGACATTTGTGCTCCTCAGCAGTTTTCAGGTGAGTAATTCAAATTCCTTAATTGTGTTAAAAAAGGCTGTTATAAAATTACCATTTTATTTAAATCTGAGTTAATAAATTTCTTGGCAGAGGCTTCCCCAGCTCCCCACAGCCCGGTAACAAGATGGATGGGGCAGAGAAGGAGCCAACACAGTCATTTTGGTTTGGAATTACAGGCTAATAGATTCATTCATTTCCGGAAGCTGCTGTTGGCTGTCTCTTCCCCTCCCCGGGAGTGGCCTGGCTGTGGGGGCTGGACAGCCAGGGAGCAGGCAGTCCCAGGGGAAATGAGAATCCAAGCCAGGAGGGCTTCGCAGATGTGAGTGGTCCTTCCCTGGGGCCTGAAGAGGGCAGAGTGCATGCAGGTTAGGGTCTAGGCTGCGTGTGCCAGGATGATGGGTAGTTTGTTCTGGGCAGACCTTTCCTGCCTTCTCATTCCTCCGAAGAGCTGCCAGAAAACAGTTGTCACTTAGCCCAGGGTCTGTGTGTGCTGCGGAGACAGCCCCCTCCCTCAGCTCTCAGGCCCAGAGCAGGACAGCAGCGCCCTGAGCATTGCTGGGCCTGGAACCTGCTCTAGTGGGTGGGCCGCACCCCATCATCATCCCTCTCCCATTGGAGGTGGCATGGGGAGATGCAGACTTGCCACCTGGGGCCATCAGACACACCTGGCTTGATGCCCACTGCTCTGTCTTCCTTCTGTCCAGCTGGAGGAGCAGCTGAGCCGCCTTCAGCGTGAGAAGAATGAGATCCAGAGCCGACTGGAAGAGGATCAGGAGGACATGAACGAGCTGATGAAGAAGCACAAGGCGGCCGTGGCTCAGGTACCCTGCCCAGGGATGCCCTACCACACCCACTACAGACACTGTCCTGGTCCACCTCACAGGTCTTTGGCATGGCCACTCCCTTCGGGCGTGGCAGTGCTGGGTACCCTGGTGCTGAGGAGTGAACAAGGTTGGGTCTGGTGTCTGGGGGATCCTGCTTCAGCATGTATTCCCTTCCCAGGCCTCCCGGGACCTGGCTCAGATGAATGATCTCCAAGCTCAGCTAGAAGAGGCCAACAAGGAGAAGCAAGAGCTGCAGGAGAAGGTGGGACCAGTGTCTCCCTTGATAGAAAAAGGGTGCAAGAGTCACTGTATGCGGGGACAAACTCCCCAAACTCATAGGATAGCAAGCGCTGCTCTCAGTCACCACAAATGCACAGAGCAGTGTCGGCACATGCAAGGAGCTAGGCTTGGAGCCATATCACCGTAGCAGACATTTGGCTCCAGCTGCCTCATTTCACATTTCTATTCCCTCTCTGGTCCTTAGCTTTCTCCTTTCTCTCCAAAGGGCAAAATCCATGCCAGCACCGGGCCAGGTGGGGAATGCCTCTGGCTCTGGGCCCCGGCCTTCCACCTACCCTCTACATCCCTCCCTCTACCATTAGGTCACCATGGTGATCTTGCCAACTCCACTCTCTGCCCCAGTGCTTCTGGGCTCAGTCCTTTCTTCTCTTCCTGCCCTCCACCCCTCAGCTACAAGCCCTCCAGAGCCAAGTGGAATTCCTGGAACAGTCCATGGTAGAAAAGTCCCTGGTGAGCAGGCAGGAAGCTAAGATCCGGGAGCTGGAGACACGCCTGGAGTTCGAAAGGACCCAAGTAAAGAGGCTGGAGGTGGGTGCCCTTCTGGTCAGCAGTGAGTTGGCAGAGCTGCCCCAGCAGTGGGAGCCGCGCATGTGCAGCTGGGCTGGCCTGCTGCTCCTCCAAGGCCTCTGCCAACTGTCAGGCCAGCTGACAGGGCGGGTGCCTTTGGCCCCGCCCACCTGGCCTGCTCTCTGGGCACCACAGAGCCTGCCTGCTTTACATTCTGTTTCCGTGCTTGCTTTCTGCCAAGGGACCAGAGCAGCTTAGCTTTTTGTCTTCGTATTTTCCTGCACCATAGCTCCCCCGCCACAGTCCCCCTCACTCGCTCCCTGGCAGGGTCATAAATATGCAGTGGATGGCGCCACTTCTATGAGGGCTGAGGTCTGTTCCCTCATCTCACCGCTGTCTCCCCCGTCCCTTTTTTATTTCCATTTTTCCTCACTTCTTCCAACCCTTCCCTCTCTGCTGCTTCTCCTCCTCTCTCCATTTTCCTCCATTTTTGCCCCATTCTTTTGTCTCCTTTTGCATTTTCCCTCTCCGCAGACTTATTCCCCTTTCTTATCCTCCCTGTTTCTCCTTGACTTCCCATCCCATTTCCCTCTGCCCATACTTTCTATCCTCTTTCCTTCAGCCCTTTTCCATTTCTGCTCACCTCCTTTCTTCTTTATCTTGCCCCTCCTTCCTTCCACCTGGAATCTCCATACCCCAAAGTCAGTCCTTTCTGTTCAGTCTCCTGACCCAGCGTGATCCAGCACCCCCTCCCCAGCCTAGCATGTAGGAAGAAAGAGGCAGGCAGAATTCTCTCTGGGTTCATACCCCTCTCGCCCTGTTTTTAAGTTCTTCTCCTTCCCGAGCTCATAGACATGGTGTAAGCTCTGTTCACAGGGGTGGGTGCTAAGGCACATCCCTGCCACCTCCCCTCCAGCCCTTCAGTCTGTGGAGCAGGCACTGGGGGAAGGATGAAAACAGGTGGCTCTGGGGCTGGCAGTGGGCATGGGAGGGCAGTAATACTCTTGACCTAGGAAGAGAACATGGCTGAATGTCCCAAGACAGGGTCACGGGAGAGGTAGGGAATTTAGAGGAGACATGACAGTTCCTGTTCAGCCCATCACAACCCTAGGATAGATGGTAATTTTGATCTCCATTTTATATACAGGAAGGGGTAAGTCGGTTGCCTAAGGTCACAAAGCTGTCCATGGTCAGAATAGGCTGTTGGTCTGGCCAGGGCAGACCTGTGCTCTTGTCTCCTTTTTTTGTGGGCCCAGCCCCTTTCCTCGGCTCTGTCTCTCAGTTTCCCTTCTGCCCAGAAAGGCAGTACTATGGTTTAGACATACAGAATGTTAAACACAGACAGCGCTTAGAGATCATGTAACCTAGCACTGTTGCTTTAGAGACACAGAGGCTGTGTAGCTGAGACGTGGAGTCCCCATGGCCAGTCAGTGGTAGAACCAGGATAAAAAACAAAAGCAGGTCCTTCCTTCACACTCTGCTTCAATCTCCATGTGTTTCTTGCTCCATATTCTACAGCCCAGCAGGGAAAAATGTGTTCATGTTTCTGGGGGGAGAGAGATTCATCAGGCTGAGAGGGTTGGCTTTGTGCTTGGAATCTGATGACTGTTTAGTCTCCTCCTAACCAGGGAACTCTCAGTAAAGCCATTTACCTCTGAGCACAAGACCGAGCTTCTGGGCTCAGGGTCTGAGGGAAACTCTGCGGACTGTCAGTACGGAAATGCAGGTGCTAGGCAGAGCGTTCCTCCATCCTTGATAGTGTTGACGATGGAAACACCCTCCAGCTTCCGGAGCGCCTTCCCATGTATGACCTTATTCACTCCTTAAAAGATCCCTGGGAAAATAATTGCTATTTTCCCATTTTACAGAAAGTCAAAGGAAGCCTCCTAGAGGGCTTTAGTTGCATGCCAACCTATGAGTGAGCTGTGGAGCCAGAGCTGGACCCCAGGCCTTCCAAACCCAGAGCTCTACCACACCCCTCTCTCCGCCTGGCTGATGGGCCCCTCTTCCCTCCTCCCTGCCCAGAGCCTGGCCAGCCGGCTCAAGGAGAATATGGAGAAGCTAACCGAGGAGCGGGATCAGCGTGCTGCGGCTGAGAACCGGGAGAAGGAGCAGAATAAGAGGCTACAGCGGCAGCTGCGGGACACCAAGGAGGAGATGAGCGAGCTCGCCAGGAAAGAGGCTGAGGCGAGCCGCAAGAAGCATGAACTGGTACTGCACTCCAACCCAAGGGGCCCCAAGCAGGCAGCCCTCTGAGTAACTGCAAAGTGCACACCTCACCCCTAGGCTGGTGGAGTGTAGACTGCAAAGAAACCACAGTTTAGAGAATTGGAGGGAAGAACAGGTCAAGAGGATAGTCCAGGAAGCCTCAAAGGCAGGCCAGGGGGCCAAGGGTGGTACCAGAGTCTCCACCAGGCAAGGCTGGGCCCAACGGCCCAGCAACACCAGAGCAAGAAAGGCTCGACAGGCTTGCAGCAGCCCCATGTAGCTCCTGCCTGGCTGGGAGCTGAAGCAGGCTTTTCCTGAGGCAGCTGCATGAGAGATTAGCCCTCCTGTGAACCCAACTGTCTACTCTCCCTCCCAGGAGATGGATCTGGAGAGCCTGGGGGCTGCTAACCAGAGTCTGCAGGCTGATCTAAAACTGGCATTCAAGCGTATCGGGGACCTGCAGGCTGCCATTGAGGATGAAATGGAGAGCGATGAGAATGAGGACCTCATCAACAGGTGAGGGGGCAAGTAGGGCAGCTGCGGCCTGCACAGAGGCCCTCTTACCATCTCCCGACCTGGCCACCAGGGAGACCTTCTGCCGCCTCTGTCTCCCTGTCGCCGATCTAGCAGCCCACTCTCCCTTCATTGCCAGAACCCGGCCTGGAGCCTGTCCTGCAGCACCTAAGGGCAGGACAGGGGCTTCTGGGTAAGATGCCCTTCCCTCCACCTCCCTGTCCTTCCTCCCCAGGCCTCCCAGGGACCTGGCTCTCCAGCTCTGCCTGTTCAAGAAGAGTTATTCTCCCGTTTAGCTGCATTTCTAATGGCTCCTGCCCCACTCTGGGGAGAGCAGAGATTTAAGGGCCATGGTGCCTTGTTACCATTGCCAGAGATTTTCTCTCATAAAACCTACCTAGGGAATGGTTTAGGGGAGAGAGAGAGATTTGTAGTCTTAGGCTGAGGAAGCAGTCAAAGGCAGACATACTAGCACTTTGGGGCGGGAGGGTCAGGCTATGGAGAAGCTCTCAAGGCTACCCTGGGCCGATCCCCCCCTGCACATCTGTCGCCCTCTCACCTGAGGACTGGGGCCCTTTTGTGCAGGCAGGTCCTGGCCCACCCAGGAAGCCTGCTCCTTTAGGGCAGGGCAAGGGTGACTGGGCATCTCAGACCTCCCTCTGAGAACAGTGCTGTCACTCAACCCTCTGGCTGGTCTCAGCCAGCCAGAGCCAGCTTTTGCTGTGGAAAAAAGGGGCTTCAGCTGGAGGGTCTACCTTGGTTTGCCCATTAATTTTTCTGTCTTCTTCTAGCCCCCTTGCCCACCATTTTTTTTTTCTGTTTCCAGTTTACAGGACATGGTGACAAAGTATCAGAAAAGAAAGAATAAACCGTGAGGATTGAGTGCACATGCTCTCTGCCTCTCCTCCCGTGGTGTCTAACCACCCCTAACACCGGTCTCCCACCCAGGGCCCTGCTGCATGTAGCATGTGGACACACAGCTCTGGCACCTCTTCCAACTAGTCTCTCACACTAACACTGCTGACTCTGTCCTGAGGGGAGGCAGGGCAACAGGCCAGGCCTGCATCAGAGGTGGACAGGCAGTGGGGTGCACTCCCCCAGGAAGGCTCAGTTTGGCCCTCATGCTGATGGCGGTCAGAATGAGGGCTCCCTCAGAAAGGAGAGCTCAGCCTCATCCAGTGCTCCCCACCATCTGCCTTCCTGAGCTCTGGCCCTGTCCGCTCTCCCAAACCAAGTGCAGCCATCTCCTCAGTCTGTTTCTCTGGGAAAAGTCTGTTTGTGCTGAACTTGCTCACGTCCTTGGGCTCCTCTAGATCCCGAGCCCCCTGAAAGAAAGGGGGTGTGTTTTGTTTTGAAAGGTCCTCCACCTTCCTTTGGCAGGCAGGATAGAAGGTGAGGGACATCTAGCTGTTATTTATTTGGAGGAAGTGTTCAGACAGCTAATCATGGGCCGCTCTGCCCCAGCAGGGAAAGGGCATGCAGACAGATGTGTTTACTTTGCCCCCTGCGGGAACCTCTAAAGTGGGGGGGCAGCTCTTTGTGCTGGTGCTGCCTGTCAGGTGGCAGAAAGCCCAGTGAATCCGCCCTGTCTGCATCCTTCTCCCTGGCTGGGAGCCAGACTGCAGGTACTGATGTGCTGGCCTAACAGCAGATCAGGGTGATCCTCTGTCAAGTTCGACAGGGCTGTTTTTTAGAGGTTGTTTTTTTTAGTGTGGCATTGGGTTTCCTCCCCCATCCTCTCTCGCCTGGCAGGCCTCCTCCCCTGGCCAGGATGGGCTGGCAGCAGTGCGAAGGACTCCGTGAGAGCTAATGATAAATGTAATAGTGTGTAACAGTGATAGAGGGCCGCTGGAGCCCGGTTGTCACACACAATTAATATCCCCTGCCGTTCTGTCTCCGTTTGTTTGTTCCCCCGAGATTCAGCTCCCAGTTAACTAATAGCACATGAGCCTGGACATAAATTGTATTTGACTCGAGGTTTAATTCCGACCATTTAAAATTTCAACTGCCCCCTGAGCTGGCCTGCCTCTGCAGTTTGTTTACTGGCCTGATTATTTAAGGAAAAGAACCCAAACATCGTCTACTTGCTTGAAACTGAAGGGAATGTCATGGTGGGCAGGCAGGATGGCTTCCCAACCCATTCGCTGTTCTGAATGTAAGGAGGAAAATTCGTATTCTGGGCCCACAACCATCTGTCCCCTGTGTGTTCTAGCCCTGCCATCTTTGGGCTGTAGGAGCTTGGAGGGCTGATAAAATGCACATTTAAGATCACATTCTAAACCATGGCCAGGTGTGCACCCGCAATGCATGTGCCCCCCCCACACACACACACATCCCAGCATGCACCCACACAGGCACACAGGGACATGCAATTCTAGCTGGGTTCCCAGTGATGGCAGAGAGATAGTGTGGCTCCTTCCTCAGCAGCTCTGGGCCCCAGCTCCGAGTTATTGAGCGAGTATGCTAAGGCGGGCAGAAAAATAATGTTTCGATTTACTTAGAGATACAGTTGTTATTGCCATAACCTTAATGAAAGCAGTAAACAGCACAGTATTAAGGGAGATTTATACAGAAATGCTTTTAACATGTAGACATAGATTTTGTGATGCTTACAGCACCTCCTTTCTAAAGGCAATCAATATGGTTATGAACGGTGGTGATAAATTACAGGCTCTGAAGCTAGAAAGGGAGATTTTTTGCACGGATGTATAAATCAGGTGGTATTGGTGTTCCATGGGGCCCATGCACCATAGTAAATCCACCAGGTTCGGACAGGCACAGGGCTCCCATTAGCAGTTTCAGGGCTGTCTGCTAAACTCCTGTTTACTTGGGGCATCAGCCAGCCTCATCTTTGTTATAATTCTGTATTTGACGGAAGCCATAAAATATGCCTCTTTATTCCCCTCCCATGGGTTGTGCCTCCTACAGTCCTCAGAACAGTCTGGTGGATTTTTCTGTGTGTATGTGTGTGTGTGCCCACATACATGCATGCATGCACACACACATGCCTGTGTGGCTATTTATTCAAGACCGTTATTCAGGAACAGGGCTGCTCCTTTTGACACAGATGAAAGGAAATTTGTATCAAGGAGAAATCCTAGCATATCTGTATCAGGGGAATATGGTGAACAGACATTTTGCAGAATTCTAGAAGCATTCTCACTCAGAAGCTATCTCACCACTGTTTTGTGATGGGTCATCGTGATTTCAGCCTTGTAATTTGACTCCTTTGGGCTTTCCTGCAAATAGAGAGGGCTTGGACCAGCTTGGGCAGAAGCAGCACCAGGAGTGAGAGCAGGAGGCTGCCTGAGGGAGGGACGAGGAGATTTGGAGACACATAGCCCTTGTCTGGGACTTTCTGGCTCACCTAGATCCCCAGGGTGCAGTTTGAATCCTAAAGCTGTTGCCTGTCTCTCCGTAAATGCTGGTGTGCCCTTTCTCTGTTGTTTAAGGGCCAGAGAAGTCTCTTGACCTTTCAGTTTTTTAAGGGCTAGGAAAGTCGCAGGATGGGTCTGGGATATGACCTAAAGTGCCTGGGTTGGCATTGCCATCAGCTAAGGATACTACAGGTCCAAGCTAACTTGAAGTCATGATGAAGCCCTGTGGCCAGCAGCCCAGCTTTTGCAGTGGAGGCATGGAAAATGGCAGCAGCTATAGCCACATTTTTGGGAATGTGCAGATAAGAAACAGCAGAGTAGGCCTCAGGGAGTACTGAAGGGCCCAGGACTCCTTTTTTTAACCAAGAGCTATGTAGCTGTAATTGATGAAGAGATGGTCTTCCTGTCATCCTCACTAGATTAGTTGACTGAACAGTAAGCAGCCTGTCACAGAAAGTGGGAAGAGGTGCCTCCATGCTCCTTAGGGTCTCTTGGCAGCAGTCGCACAGTGTGGCCTGCTGAGGGTCCCTGTGAATGATGTGGTCCACCTAACCTCTCTTGTCCTTCCTGACTCACTGACTCGCATGCCCTCCCCCATCTACCCCCACCCAAGACAAACCTGCTGCCACTTCAGCGCCCCCTGCTGGGCAGCGGGCGGTCACTTCTTCCTCCGACTTGCCTACCTTTCTGCTCCTCATCCCACAGTGAGGGGGACTCAGATGCCGACTCCGAGCTGGAGGACCGTGTCGACGGGGTCAAGTCGTGGTTGTCAAAAAACAAGGGACCTTCCAAGGCAGCTTCCGATGATGGCAGCTTGAAGAGTTCCAGGTGAGCATGTAGCCTTGGGCTGGGACGAAAAGCCACGTTGTGCCCCAGGGATGGATGAGCAGTGCCTTCATCCCAAAGAGGGCAGGCCTTATGCCACCTGCGTCTCTTGCCTGACATGTGTGAGGCACCCAGGCATGCCCCCAGCATGTGGAATGAGCACAGGAAGCTCAGTTGCTTTTTTAGTCAGGGTCCCAGAGCCCTTATTTTTCCCAGGTAATGGTTCCCTATGAGGCTCAGGACTTTGGTTTGCTGTAGGTTTAACTTCATCCCCACTTATTCATTCAACAAATGTTGGCTGAGCTACCTGATAGTTTGGGCCCTTGGAATCAAGTCTGGAATGGAACACAGGGCAACTCTGGATCCCACAGTCCTGGATGGGGCTGGCCTGGGCCAGCTCTGGGTATCTGAAGTCTAATAGGAATACAGTAGAGAGGCACTGGTTTCCCTAAATCCCCTGTCACCGTGACAGACCCATTTCTCTCTTTATCCATTCTCTCCTCCCTCCAAACTGTTTGCTGCATTCCCACCCCCATGCTTCCCGCTCACACCCATCCACTGGTGGGCCTTGCTCCCCCTCTGATCACACAGACAGCTACCCCTGGATACAAGGCTCCACCTTCCGCATCTCTCACTGCTGACCAGCATGGCAGCAGGGAGGGAGAGCAGTCCTCTGCTCCCGAGGCTCCTGTGACCTCTTCCCTGCGGCTCCCCATGCCCAGCTCCTCCCCAACTCAGAGCCTCCTGATCCCCCAGGACACAGCCTAGCACTACCCCCCACCCCCAGACAGCTGGTAGGCTGAGAAGGAAAAGTAACCCCTCTTCTTCTCCAGCTCCCCCAGGCCCCCTCCCAAGTCCAGCCCCTCTCCACAAGCACCCAGTGGCCCCTGCTAATTGGCTTAATTTATTCAGCCAAACAACATTTTGTTATTGCAGATCATGCTGCCGGCCCCACCCCACTGCCGTTCTCAGCGGCGTGGCATGAGGCTCCAGGTAGTTGACAATGAAATAAATTGAAGTAAACGTTTTAGAGGGAAAAGTGATGAAATAGAACAATGGTCTAATTTACATGACATTCTCCATGAAGCTATTTTCACTGACGCAAATTATTTTGCTTCATTTCCTCTGATGCTCTCACCGCCGCTTTGCCAGCGCTGCCGATCCCTCCTCCTTTCGCCCCCTTTCGCCTCCCTCCCCCTGTGTCTTTATTCTCCAGGGTTAATGCCTGTCCCTCTCTCTCCCTCTCTTCCTTGCTGCCCCTAATCCACGGCGGGTCCCTCCTCCTCACGCCTCACCCCCCTCTCAGGACAGCCCTCAGCACACTGGGGAAGGAGGGCAAGGGGGTGGAGGAGCGGCCGGCCTCCGCGCTGAGCGCCCTGAGCTACCGAAAACGGCTCACCCTCAAGGACTCCATCGGGGGCACCGGGGACGAGGATTCGCTCTTCAGCGCCCTGAGCGAGCGGGCCGCCTCCCCGGAGAGGCCCCCACGGAAGGTGCCCCCGGGCCCCGAGGAGGAACCAGGCCAGGGCAGGAAGGCGGAGGAGCGGGACGGGTACGGCCCCGTCTTCTCCGAGGTCAGGCGCCGGGCCAGCCGGGGGCTGGAGAAGCGCTGGGGTTCGGACTTTGATCGGGCCTCGGCTGTCTCTGCGCCCGTCAGCCGGGCCTCCTCGGCCACCCGGCACGGCTCTGCTGAGGACGGGGTCCGCTCCTGCACGAGCTTCTCGCTCTCGGGTTCACCCAGTTCCCGACGCAGTGCCTCCCGCCTGGACAGCCTGTCACGGACCCTCAGCCCCTCCTTGAGCCGGTCCTCGGGCCTGGGCCGGGAGAGCCCCGATTCCCGCCTCTCCCTGGGCCGGAGCTGCCTGGGTGAGTGGGACGATGGCGCCAGCGTGGCCTTGAGTGAGGCCCCCTCGCAGGACAGCCACCCGTCGCTGGCCCGCAGTCTGTCGGTGCCTCCCCAGCCCCGTGTCTCGGCCTCTGCCCCGGATGAGCCTCTCGGCTCCCGCGCCCGCCCTGGCAGCCGTCGCTCCTTCCTGGACCCAGACCTGGAGGCTGCCATCAATGAGGTCTTGAGCTACAAACCCGTCCCGTTCCAGCGGAGCAGCCTGGACCTCGACTCTGACGAAGATGACCGGAAGAGCATCCAGAGTACCCGGAGCGTCCAGCTGGACCTCCCGGAGCGAGCCACCAGCATCCGCCGCTCAGCCTCTGCTGCTGATGTCTCTCGGTCCCACAGCCGCCGGAAGGGCCGGAACAAGAGAAGGAGCAGCTCCAGCTCCAGCTCCAGCTCGGAAGACTCCTCAGAACACAAGCGGCGGAAGAAGGGACGCTCTAGGAGGAGCAAGAAGTCCAAGTCGAGAAGAAGGAGACGAGAGACTGAGTCTGAATCTTCCTCGTCGACATCCAGCGGCTCCACCGTCTCGGGCCACAGCCGCTCGAGTGTGAAGAAGGGCCCAGCCACGGAAGGTGAGGAGGCTGAGCAGGTGCGCCGGCAGTCTCGGAAGGAGGAGAAGAAGCGCAAGAAAGAGGTGGACAGCCTGATGATGCGGTACCTGTATCGTCCCGAGAGCGACTAGTGCAGTAGGTGGCAGCTGGCGTGCAATGCAGCATGGAGTGTGCCACTTGGTGTGAACTAACGTGCTCCCACCCCGCCTGCCACAACCAAGGCCTCCCTGCTTTCCTCTCAGCCAGGCCTGGCCTCAGAGAGCCTCCTGGCTACCTCGCAGAGCAGGGGCCAGCTAAGCTGGTTAGTCCCTCTGAGCCCTGAGCCCTGTCTGCTGAACTTGCTGATGATGTCAGTCACATCCCCTTCCCACTTCTCAAAGGCCTTACCCTGAGCTGGAGTCCCTCCTAGATACCTGCTGCATTTAACTCACTTAATCCTCACACTAACCCCATTAACAAAGGTCTGATTAGCCCCATTTTATGGAAGAGGAAGCTGAGGCCCAGGAAGGTTAAATCACATGGCAAAGTCACACAGCTGGGCAGTGACATTGCCAGGATCTGAATGGAGTCTATTCAACTTGCCCTTAACCAGTCTTCTACACAACCCAAGGCAGAGCACACAGGCAGAATGTTTACTGTGTGTGCCTGGCAGCACCCTTACGGGAGCCTTGGTCCATGGTCCCCACACGCTGGGCCCAGGAAAGGGCTCTAGCTAACCCCCACTCAGGTGTGGCTTAGTAAGTACACCAGTGGCCATTGGCTGTTATGGGGCCTTTTGCTTAGCTCTCCCACTGCCCTGCAGTACACCTTCCTCCCTGGCACAGACCTTAAGCCTACGAGTGCAAGGCTTACGGGGTTCCAGCCCCCGCAGCACCACAGGCTACAGCAGACCCCGGGGTGCAGGCTCCCTCCCCACCCCTCCCAGCTGAAGCCCACACATGGGCAGCAACCTGTCTCAGCTCATCTTGCAAAGTTTCAGTGAATAGAAATTAGCAGCTGCTGAGTGACAGCTCCCTCCTGGCTCCCCTGCCTCCTGCAGCCTTCTCCCTGTGGGGAGAGAGATGTGGCAGTTAGGCCCTTGAAGCCCACACCCCCACCTTGGAAGAAAGGCAGAGACTGACTCACTGGAATCCCACTGTTGCCGCTTTTCCTGGTGGGTGGTGACATGTGGATCTGGTTATGTTTTCAGCATGGGACCAAGCTTGCTGCTGCTCAGGAGGTACAGTCCCAGGACGCAGCGGCCTGGGGCCCAGGCAGGCGTTGCCCCTGTGGGAACTAACACACACCCGTTGCATGTGTATGGGTTTCTTGGGCAGTGGAGCAGCTAACACGTGCACTGACTCTGGCTGGGTTCTACCCAAAGGGGCCAGTTATGTTTTAGGAAATGCTGCAAGTGGAAGTGAATATTACCAGCAACTATTTGGAAATGGGGGATGGGATGGGGAGGTGGAACTTGAACCCAAACCAGGCTCACGACCAGCTCAGATTCCTCTGGCCCTGAGCTGCTCTGAAGCCAAGTGCTTGGGCTCAGCACTGCTCCGTCACTTCCCCCACGTGGCAGATGGTTGCAGGGGGCTCTGGGAAGAGGAGGAAACATCTCAATTGCACCAGGGAGCCGTTGTCAGCTCCCCAGTGAGAAAAGACAGGAGTCATAATATTGTGTCTACCACTTCAGCCTTTCCCTCAGCAGCCCAGCTGAGTGCCCTGCTCCCCCAGCTGTGGGAGTTAGTTGAGGGCCGTGGGGGGATGGGGTGCGGGAAAGCAGAGAGGGCCAGGTGCTTCTGAGAGCTGCCTTACTACCTGAAGAAGGAGACAGGAGCCTAGCCAGGCCATCCCACACCGACTGGCAGTGGGTGAATTTCAGACCCAGTGTCCTCAGCCCACTGTCACCCTTAACCCCACAACTAGCAAGAACAAAAACACAGAAAGCCTGTTCCTTCCCCCAGCCACCAACACAGTTCCACTTGTCCACCAGGAAAAAAAGTAGTCCTGAAACCCGACATGCCGCCACCACCCAAAGAGGTTTGGATTCCCTGGGTAGAGTGGGCACTGAGCCAGAAGGTAGCCAGCCAAAATGGAGCTGGCAAGAGAGGGGCCAGGGGAAGGGGTACCTACTGGACTCAACCCGAACTACCTTTGGGTGGATAAACTCCCAAGAGTAGGGGAGGGAGTCGAGTTGTGGCTTAGCTTCCCATCTGGTGATGGGGATAGCAAGAACTCACAACAGGAACACATCCATAGCAAAAGCAAGGGGAGGGGCTTGCCACCCTGGGCTCACCCAGCAGGAATTAGCTTATGCACCAAATTGTTTGTGACAGTGTTGAACAGGAGACAGTGGCTCACAGGGAGGAAAGCTTTTTAAACAATTTGGTTAGAATGTTCAAATTGCCAGCCCTGACTGTTGCCCTGGGGAGGTGGCTGGCTGTCTGCTGTTGGCTGTCTGACAGCTGCACAGTAGAGGCCACAAAGGAGACTGGCTAAAGAGCAGCCATGGTAGAAGCAGGCAGAGCTTGTGGCTCCACAGGGCAGGGGAGAGATGCAAAGCGTTGGCCCCCTCTCTGTTGTCACTGATCCAGGCGTCTGCCTGGCAGGCACAGGAATGTGGGAGTATCTGAGGAGGGCTACGAGAATGGAGAGACGAGAATGGAGAGACGCCAGCAGTCCTGTCCTCAGGCCCCATTTGCATCTGGGTCCCAGCGCTGGCATCTGCCTCATGCCCCACTGCTCACGAAACAACCCCATTGTCTTTCCACAAAGCCAGTCCACCCTTTGACCAGCGCAGACCTTAGCACTGAGTGTGCAGAAATTCTGTCTAAAAGTTAAAATAAAACCAGGTTCCCACTAATTTGGAAGTCAGACAACCCAAAAACTAAAATAACTCCAACTTTTTCTATGTTACATCATTGAACTTTATAATTTTGTCCCTGAGACACCCCAGAGTCCTTAAGTGCCTTTGGCCCATCAAAGTAAGACTCGTTTTTGTTCAGTCTAGTTTGTATTAAATGTGTTTTGTGCTCTTCTGATTCCTTTAAAAATGGTAATTCATTCATGAGAAATATGATAACTATTAACCAGGCTGCCCCACTCCTGAGCCATTTTACATAATTGAACATGTATTTCCCAGGCTCTTCCTTCTCAGAGAGAGAGAGAGAGAGAGCCTATCTTTACCCACCCCTGGGCTCTCACTCAAGCCAGTGGAGGGAAACTCAGGTTTGGTCTTGTTTTCTCCATCAATGGCAAGGTGGAGTCATCAAAAGACTTTGAGGTCTGAGAGTCACACATAATGGCTGTGTGACCTTGGGTAAGGTGCTTCATCTCTCTGAACCAGCTTCCTCAGGATATTTCACAGGGTTATTGTGAAGAATAAGACAGCACATCCAGAGTGCCTCAGACCATGTCTCATACACAGCAGGTACTACTACACTGACCACATCTTTTCTTCACCACAGTTGGAAAAGCTAAGAATGTGATTATTTTCTTGCAGAACCTTTGGTTTGGGGATAGAAGAACTTTGAAAGGTCTGGTAAACAAGGGCTCTACGTAGATTCTTTAATCAGAATTGTTAGGCAGCAGGATCACAGAATTCTTATTTATGCCTGTGGAAGCTCTCTAAGATCTGGAAGCAGGGCTGTCACCCTGGGAGCACTGGGCAGGGACCCACAGAGCACAGGGTAGGGGTGGGGTCCCCCTGGGCTGCATTTCTCCAAGAGTGGCTGAAATCATAGTGCACTTGACTGGGCAGAGGCAATGGAGGTGGGAGGGTCAGGAAAGGCAGCTCCAGGGCTTTGGGAAAGAAAGAAAAGAGGTGACTGGAGCTGAATGACGAGGCCCCACCCTGGCTTGGTGCCAGGAGCCTGCTCCATCCAGAGGTCATGCTTCACATGGTGGTCGGGAGTAGCCGGAGGCTCCCAGGGGCCTGATGGAAACTCTGTGGAGTTGAGTTTTGGTACCAACAATGGGATGACTGTGCTACCCGGAAGCAGGTCCTGCCAGCTTCAACATCCTGAGTCACCATTCCTTATGGTGAGCAGACGATGGCCTGGTCAAGGGCAGAAATCCTCACAGGCCTTAGGAAAACCTGCTTAGGAGAAAGGGTTAAGATCTGGGAGTATTCAGTGGGGAAAACCCCTCCTTCTTAGAATCTTAAGGAATAACTTTAACTGAGATGAGTTGTCCTCCAGCCCCCAAGTCAGTGTGGCCTATGGATCCCCTGCATCAGAATCTTCTGGGGAGGAAATTGAAAATGCAGAATTCCTGGGTTCCACCGAAGGACTAGCAAATGAAGGTTTCTCGGGGGAGGGCCCAGGAGTCTGTAGCTGATTCCTGTGCACACTCAGGTCCGAGACCCACTGCTCTGCAGCATTGTTTTCCTCAGTTTCCAGAGCTTCTCAGAGTCAAGACGATGTCTTCCTTCCTTTTACTTTATCTTCTGGGAAAGCCAGGGACTGAATTTACTTCTCAATTTGTGGCTTTTAGAAAATGTTGTGACAGGACTCTGGGGGCTTCCCCAGGACCAAAGGCCGTGGTGCTGCTGAAAGTTAGATGTGTCATTCCCCTGTGACCTTGTCCCTCTCTCCCCACAGCCCCACCAGCTACTGGAAGTCCCTTGCCCCTGACCAGTCAGATGATGAGCACGACCCTCCTGACAGCACCTCCAGGCCCCGATACTCCCACAACTATCTGAGTGACAGCGACACAGAAGCCAAGCTGACAGAGACCAACGCATAGCCCAGGGGAGTGGTCTGCACCTCTCCCACCTCATGGGCCACTACTGCCATGGGGCCTCTCCCGGGAAATGGCGGGACACAGGTCTCTCCCATCCGACTGATAATCTGCATGGGAAACACCCGGCCCTCTGGGGTCGGGGGCTGTCCAGGCTGTAGGTGTCTGACATCTCCACGTGGAAGAGGTCGGGCAGAGAGGAGTTTCTGGAAAGAGAACATTGTACTCCTCTGCCTCCAAAATGCCATAGTCTTGGCTTCTACTTTGGGCCACTGTGGGCAGTGGCAGGCGGCTTGGCACTGCATGTAGCCAGCACATTGACCTGCATCTCAGCCCCTTGCTCAGGGATGATGGACAGATTGCCTACTGGGACATTCTATGTTGCTGGGTCCATGGGGAGGAGTTGGGGGAAGGAACAGTAATTCCTTCCCCCCAGCTTGGGGTGAGGGCTTTCTCTTCTCAGTGCCTGCTGTCTTTTTACTTTTTAATTTAAATTCCCAACCTCTCCATCACAGCTGCATCCCTGAGAGTGGGAGGGGGCTGTGGTGGCAGCTGGGGCCCCCGGGAAGGACTTGGGGAATCCCCACTCCATCATCACTCTTCAGAAAGCAGTCCTTTCTCTGTGCAGCTGCGAGGCCAGTGAGCAGAGCTTCATCCAGGTTCTTAAGAGGCAGCATGGGGAGGGGCTCTCAGGTGCTTCTGGGTTTGGGTGAGCAAGCGTGCACAGACAGGGGTGCATATGTACTATCCGGAGCTTCCAGCCCCACCCCTCTTCGTCTCATCAGTTTGTTAAGTGCAATGACCTATTTAAGAGTAAACCCCTCCCACCTATCCCAGCTCAGGGCTTATCATCCAAGCACTGCCTCCCTCCTCCTGTCCACTGCCTGGACCAAAAGCTCAAATGGAGAGGGAAGGCCTTGGGTTGTGGGCTTGTGATCAGAAAAACTGAAGACGGAAGTTTTGGTCAGGACTAATGTATTAGACATGCATCCTCACCCTGTGTCCTGAGCCTGAGTCATTTTTCTTCTTCCAGTCGCCCTGCCCCCACACACTCATCCAACATGACACCATGTGGCCTGACAGTCCAGTCCCGGACCCCACCCTAGAGGTCATTCCACTGACCCCACCAGACTTGAGGGCCCAAGGGTAGTGCCTGGTGCCACTCCCATCTGCTGTTCCCTCTTCTCTCCTGCAGTGCGTTTGTACTCAATGGGCTGTGCTTTCCCTGCCCTGTTCACCTGATATGTGGAAATAAATGTCCTTTTCTTCCTGGCTCTACCAGTTTTCCTGCCTGTTCCTTCAGGGTCAGGAAAAGTCCAGGGTTCTGATGGGGAGCAGAGTCAGGATTCTGGTGGGGACCTAAGAGGATCACCCTGGCCTCTGGCCTGCTCCATGTCAGACCAGTGCCTCTCAGTGGGCGATAGCAGGCAAAGGTACTGGGATGAGAAGACCAGTCAAGGAAGACACAAACCCCTCTTATTTTAAGAGCCTATGGATTGTAATTCAGGTTGGCAGAGTTGTCCAGGCCTCAACCCTTGCAATCCACTCGGGAAAATTGAGGTCCCTCTGATGGTTAAATCTCACCAATTACAAAGATCCAATCTTCTCTAGTTTTTTTTCTTTTTTTTTTTTTGGTGGGGGGGCCAGGGGGTGAGAGATGCAAGCCTTTTTTACTATAAATTTCTTAAAGTTTAATTTTAGTCATTCCAAAGATGACTTTTTGATCAAAATTTGGCAGAACTCTCTCTGGCCCCCACCCCCACTGGCCACAGGGCAGCCTGAACAGGCTGGGAGTCCTGGCTTCGTGCCCCAGTCCACAGTTGGTCCCCTTACTGACATGAGGCAGCTAATGCAGAAGGGCAAGAAACAAATGACCCTCGTCCACCTTCTGGAATGTGACCAGTTATAATCCCTGCACATAAAGTGCTTTCAGCTGGTCTGACGGGCCCCTCTGGCTTGCATAGGTAGGCAGGAGAGGGTATCGGCCCTGATGCCAAGACTCTGGTGATGTCAGCCACCCAGGAAAGGGAAGGAGGGAGAAAAGTCACCCCAGAATGAGTGGGACAGAAGTGTGAAATGGGTCCATCTTGAAAGAAAGAGAGTGCCCCTGTCTGCTTCCCCCTGGGTTGAATAGAAAAGGTAGTAAAAGTCAAGTTACTTCTTTTTTTAAAACTACTGGCTCCTCATGTTCAGTTTTCTCACATCCTTTACTCCTGCTTTCAAATAGCTTGGTGTGTTTTCTGTTTCTACGAGAACTAGTGTGACAAAGTCCTTCCTGTGGACAAGATCCCAGCTCTGTTCTCCCACACTGACTGAGGCATCTGGTTAACTGGAAAATCCAACATCAATCTCCAGTATCCTGGCCAGGCGCAGAGAGCTTTATGCAAGTCAGAAAACTTTTGTTATTCATTTATTCACTCAGTCATCAAATATTTCTTAGCTGCCTGCTATGGCCTAGGCATTGTTCTAAGTGCTGGGTATGAATGAGGTCCCTTCCTGAGTAAAGTGGGTACTCTTGTGGAGTTGGACATACAGCATATGCACTGCACCTTGCTAATATGTGCAAGCTTTGGTTGAGTAGAAAGGAATAAATCAGTGTTTGGCCCCTAGGGGCTTGTGAATTAAGGCTAGGGCACTTCCTACATGGAAATAATTACATGAGACATAACAGAAGGACAAAGAAGTTGCTTTGGGCCTATTATGGGGGAGACTCATTGTGAGGAGGTAAAGAAGGACTGGGAAAGCTTCCAACAGGAGCTGGTGTTTTGAGCTGGGGCTTGAAGAAAGGATAGCACTTCCACAGGTAGATATTGCTGGGAAGAAAGATGAACCAAAGCAAAGGCCCATTGTAGAAAGAGGTAGATGGTGGTAGGGAGCTCCACAGGCTGTCTGGGGAAGCCAGACATCACCTCATATGACCAACATCTCTTCAAGCTACAGTAAAGCCCCTCTGCTGGGTGTTGGACTCCAGGCGTACAAGGAGGCTAGTCCCTTGGCATCAGCTCCCTGGGGGAGCCGAGGGGCCTGCAGGGCCATCAAAGCCCTTCTTCCTTCTGGGTGTGCTTTCAGAGCTCTAAGCTCCTGCCCTCACTCACATGTACACCCGTGGTAGCCTATGGTCCCTAAGATATAAGTGCTTCTCCGAGAACAGGCAGCCAATCTCCCCCTGTGTCAGGCTCAAAGCCTCCTTGCCTGGTCCGCCTCTCTAATCTCAGACCCTCAAGATTACTCTGACTCCTGAGAAGAGGCATGGGCATGGACCAAATCCTTGTGAGGCTTCCCGTCGTGCCCAGTGTGTGCCCAGAGATGACGACAGCATGCAGTGGCTCCTGAACTACCTCCTTGTGTCCTGTGTCCTCTCAGCAGATTATCTCAGTTGTCCTTTCCCCCATGCCCCACCCCCACGCCTGGTGGCACAGACACTTAGCGATTTGCTCCTTAATTGTCCCCCAGCTAGGCTGTGCAGATGTCGCTCTTTAATCTCTCCTGATAAATGAATCGTGCCACTCCTTTAATCATATGTTCATATCCAAGCCAATTTGAATCAATTTGGCAGGGAGCTTGTTGCAAGAGATGCCATGACTGCTGCTTCTCCCCCCAGGGCCTCAGAGCCAGTATGCCTGCTGTCCCTACCCTCAGCAAAGAGCCCAGGGGGCCCATCCAGGGAAAGATCTCCTACCCGAATGGTGGGGACTTTTCAAAGCCAATCATTCATACCTGTCCTCCAAGGAAGCCCCTGTGGAACTGGGCCTCAGAAGTGAAAGGGAGGTGGCCAGTCCACAGTGTCCCTGAGTCTGAATAAAGGGCCCCTTATCATCCCTGGGAGAACGCGCTGCCTTAAATCTAACTCTAACCCTTTCTATCCCCCCTTCATTTCCTCTGAGCTGGTTCTCAGGGAAGCCGAAACACTTCATCTTTTAGATGGCAACACATTCCTGACCATTCATGATCGTTTGTCCTTGCCTGCTGCTGGCCACCACCCCAGCTCCTTTCGTCTTTCCCCAGATAGTATTATTTTCTAAATCCTCCAGCCTGGTGAGCAGCCTGGGCCATGCTTGGTAAAGTACTAAGTTTTGCCACCTTTGGGGAGGCTGCCTTTTCACTACAGTGGTGTCCACGTACCCTAGTAAAAACAAAACAAAAACAAACAAAACCTACTCAACTGAGTGTTTCTGCCGCTAGCACTGAGGCCTCAAAGAATGGACTTAAGCTCTTGAGCCTCAGTTTCTCCATGTGTAAAGCAAGGTGGTATTGCTGTCAAGAACCTTTTGGCTTCTAAGTTACAATGGGGCTGCCAGCATAACCTCTCACCTCCACCCCTTCATCATCCCGGGTGAGGAGCGGGACAGACTGGCTGGGGATGGTTCCGTCCAGCAGCCTCGTTGTGCCCCCAGGTCCCCTTCCTTTCCTCTCCTTTTTCCTCGCGGGCTCTGCCAGTCGCTAGTGGGGAAACCGGGTATACTAGCATATTCATATTCATTTGCCTTACCTCTGCCTCTGGCGCACTGGGCCTCTGGCTCTGGCTCCGCCCCCACCTGGAGGTTCTTCCCTCCCTTTCCGGAAGCCACGCCCCTTTAAAGGTTCTTAAGCCGTTGTCCCGCAGAGCACCTCCGCACGTTGCTCGTTAAGTTCCAGAGGCGTGGGGACAGCTCTCTCCGCTCAGCACCCGGACGCTACAGTTTCCCGCCCTTTGAAGGGCTCTTGGAAACCCTTGGCAGGAGCTGAGGTTAACCTAGCGACTGGGGCTGAAGAGCGTCCTTCCAGGCCTGTCAGCAGTGACTCCTGGGATGAGGAGGATGATAAAACCAGTATTGGTTCCCATTTGTGGAGCACTTATTATGTCCCCAGTGCTTATGTATTTTGCCTCCAAAATCTCATTTAACGTTTATCACAACTCTGTGAAGTGTCCGTTGTCTCGATAAGAAAACAGGCTCAGAGAGGTGATGTCTAAGTAGATTCCTCGGCTTGGTTCCAGGAACTGGCCGGGCATCTATCTACAAGCTATCCTGGCCCTGTCAGAAGCTGAAGGGAGAGACGAGAAGGCCAAGAATCGTGATCCTCATCTCAAATAGCTGTGCGACTAGTATTCACCAAGGCCTGGCCTTAGGAAGGAAACACTTCTTAGCAATCTGGAGGAGAAGTGTCAACCTCACATTTCTGTTGCTCCTTGTAATTTTCAGAGCAACCTCCATACATCACACGTTTGTGTTTCACACACTCTGTGCCAACAATATAAATAACTGTTCCACATGGCCCAGAATGTGTATTTTAAGCTATGTTCACCTCAGTCTTATTTCATTACAGTACAAGCAAACAATCCAGACCACTGTCTGGTACTTGATCTGAGAGGAATGATTTCCAGGGCAAAGCCATTTTGGAGTTAACAAGGATGCTAGATTTGTTTAGAAGGAATTTTACAGAGAAATTGAGTCTTCTGTAGTGTAAGCCACAGTGATGGGTCATATACATAAGGGTGATTCCCAAAAGGATGTGTGCTTTGCAGTTCAAGTCAGTGACATAAATCTCTCAGCAGAATACTTAAATGTGCAGATAAAATTTGCTTTAAAGATCAGAAGTCAGCTATGACAGTTTTACAAAAAAAAAAAAACTAAAAAAGGGTATTAAGTTTTAACACCAGCCAAGCAAATTATATTTGAGGTGGCTTAAGAGTCAAAAAGTTCCCACATTTTAATAAAGTTTTATGTTTCATGCCATATCTATGATCTGACTAGATTAGGAAAACAAGCAAACAGATTTGGGGAAGAAAGGACGCTGGGGAATTTGAAAATGGGAAAGTTTTCCAAAAAATGTTTTAAAAAGCCTTGATACCAGGAAGATGCAGCCAGTAGCTTCAGAAACATTAGGTCTTTGTAACCAGGTAAATATAAAATTGTATGTGGTGAACTAGGCCTCATGGCTTATGTTTAATTCTGGGGACTGGCATCAGTTGTAGGCTGGCACCCTTGCTGAGGGCTGCCTTTGGCCCCTGTGGGCATACTGTCCTCTGGAGAGCACAGACAAGTACCCCTAGGGAGTGACACTGCCCTAGAAGGTTCTGCTAGAAGCACAGGCTTCATGACCTGCCTTTGAGGGTCCTGGAGCTTATGTGTGGGACCTGTTCTTTCTGGTGGACCACATCCTGAGCTGGACAGGATTTAATAGTAGAAATGGAGCTTCTGCTCTCCAGGCCTGGCAAAATAAGATAGGGAACCAACTAAAACGTGGGTCCATCTTACACCTCTGTGAATAGGCTTTTAAAGGAACATGTACACCTAACAAAAGTACATATAAAAACACAGAGAAGTAGATAAATATAAGAAGGGATCTCTGAAAATTAGCAGTAGTTTTATTTGGGGATGTGGGGTTATAGATGAAGTATCTGTACTTATAATAAGTTTTCATTTAATGTTTTCTAAAGAGTCTACAGATGTGAGTCTGCCAAACACTAAAGAAGGCCCCAAGTTTTCATATTAGTGTGACTGTAAGAGTAGCTTTTTTTCCTGGCATTTCATATATAGAAATAGTAGCTATGGGGAGTAAACCATGTGGTAAAGCTGCTTGGAAACTGCTTAGAACTCTTGCTCAGGGAAAGCCGTTTTTAAAGCAGCAGGCACCTCTTGCCATGGCTGAGACTGAAGCTGAAAAAGGAACAGATGGGAGGGTGGAACTTGAACCGAATATTTAGGGGAGAAGTGCGGTGGGAGAGGGGGCGAAGAAGAGCACCTAAGTGCGACTGCCCATGCAGGTGAGGAGTTTAGCTGAGGAAGCTCCTGTTGGTGATGGAGTGGGCTGAGGAGAAGCCAAGAGTCAAGGTCTTTCAGGATATTTGCATCATGGTTATATACCTTTTTTCTTCTTGTAAGATCTGTATGCGTGGAGATGGCTCAGTGTCCAGACATTGTGCTTAGCTGATGGATTTGTGCTTCTCCAACCAGACTACAGGAGGTTTAGTCCCTTAAAGAAAAGGTATTTTTATGTTTCAAAGTCAAGTGACCAGTGAGTTCCCTGAGAAAATGGTAAGGTATAGATATTACAAAAGGAGGCCCGGGATTTCAGGCTTGCCGAAGTTCAGGGGGGAGCAAGTCCCCTGGGGCGTGGGGGTGATCTTCATCTCCCACCCCACCCCCATTCCTTGCTCCCCAGTAGAAATCAGCTACAAATCTCAGCTTGTTGGGAACAGATGGCTTTGGCTGACGAATAAGCCACCGCAGGCTGCTCCACCTGTTCTCGGACTGGAATAATCAGCTCCAGACAAACATCGGCGCTGAAATAACTCATGGCAGCGGGTGATGCGCAGGCACAGATTCCAAAAATCTCTTCAACAGACCCCCTCCAATTCTCTCCCCTCCTCGGGCCCTAGAGGCCAACAGGGAAGTAATGGAGCGGAGAAGACGGATCGGGTCCCAAACTGAGCAGGATGTCCGAGGCGGTTGGGCCGCAGGATGGAGGCGGGACGGAGTTGTGCTCGGGAAGGGGGCGCGGGAAGGGGCGGGGCGCGGGAAGGGGCGGGGCGGCGTGCGGGGCATTCACCGTGGCAGGGCGGGTGTTATTTCTAAAGAGCACATGCAGAACGTGGGAATGGTTGGTCCGTGTCAGGGATAAGTGTGACGAGATCCAACCAGTTGCGGATAGTAGAAAACTGAGGATTTAGGATTCATTTGGATTTGTTCAACAAAGGAGTGAGATGCAAAATAGAACCAAGCTAACAGCGAATCTCTCAGCAGCTCAGACAGTTCTGCCAGCAGCTGCTGGGGGTAGTGGGGGTAGTGGGTTCCTGTATTTCTGTGTAGACTTGTGTTCAGCCTCCCTTCATTTCCTTGCTGAAGTCATCTGGACTAATGTTACCGGGCAGGGGTAGATGAGCCCACGGGGGAAATGACAGCGCAGGGAAGCAGTGGTGACCCGCAGTGAGGGGCGGGGTGCCTGCTGAGATGGGGGTCTGGCTCTCCTGTGGAGTCAGTCAGGAGAGGACAGGGACTGAGAGAGAAAAAGGAGGACGAATGCTTGCCCTAGGTGCCTCAGGCAGGCAGCTCCCTTTGTCCAGGCACCTGGCCTGGTGCACAGGTCAAGGCGGCTGGGTCCCCAGAGGCCATGCTGGCTGGGGAAGGAGCCGGCAGACCCCCAGTTGCATCTCTAACTGCCAGATATCATTTCCCCCAGGTGACCCCTGTACCCTGCCTGAGGCCCAGGGCATTGGAGGACAGGGCCCTCACCTATCATTTAGGGTCCCACAAACCTGTTCTTGAAGCTGGTTGTGAGCATGGAGTTGCCATGGTGGCGCCTGTCCTGCTGAGTGCCTGGTTCTCACCCTGCGGCATATTAGAAATATTCAAGGAGCTGTTCCTGTTCTGTTTTGTATACAAAAAGTAAAAAGAACAGTATAATGAACTTCTTTATCCATCAAGCAGCTTCAACAAGTAACAGGAAATCTTGTTTCACCTACACCCCGACCCACTTCCCCATTCCCTTTACTGGATTGTTTTGAAGCAAACCCCAGATATGATAGCACATTAAGAAATACTTTAGTATCTGTCCCTCTAAGAAAGTAAAATGACTCTTTTAAAAAGTGTAATCACACCTAAAAAAATTTATCAATAACTTCTTAATACCAAATATCCAGACAATATAATTTATACATTAATAATGTAATAATTTAATAATTTATTAGTTCATTTTATATATTTATAAAGGCACATATGTTTTTAAGTTAGTTCTAGTCAGGATCCAAAGTCGAGGAGCTTTTAAAGAAATACTGTGCCTTCTCCCTCAGGGATTCCTATTTAATTGGCCTTGGGTGGGGCCCAAGCATCATATTTTTTAAAGCTCCCTAGGTAGTTTTAATGTGCAGCCAGTGTTGAGAAATGTTCCACCTTTCCCCCTAAGAGCTTCCTGCCAACTGCTCCTCATGCAGGCTGTTAAATACCTCTCCCTGCCTCGGGCCAGTAGACCAGACAGCTCCCAGAGCAGTGGGCACTAACACACCTACCTGGAGGAGTCGGCTGCCCATCTTCTCCAAGCTCCCCTTTCTAAGGGGGCTCCAGCTCTCCGTGGACACAGCATTCCTTTTCCCTACAAATTCACAAACCATGTGGGCCTGTTCCCCTCTTTCGCCCCTAATATGCCTGGTGCCTGTTCTTACCTTACAAGCATAGCCAGTTTCTTTCTTTTTTTTCTTTTTCTGCATGAAAATAGCAAAATTCCTGTCTCTAAAAAAGTGAGAACTTCCCTGAGGGCTGTACTCACTTCGCTGCTCAAGGGGCTCAGCCCTGCACTGGAGCAGAGCAAGGGGCCTGCTGGGCGCTTGGCAGCAGATGTAAGGGAAACTGGGGATTGAGTGGGACTTGAACCCAGCACATTTTGGGGAACCTAAGAAACCTTTCTCTCCCCAAGATGTTGGTCCTGGGAGCATTTTTGAGAATTACGCCCAGGTCCTTAGCTCACAGCCAGCTGCTGCTTCCGTTCACTCCCCCACCCCTCCACTCCACCGGCCTTTTGGATTCCTTCCTGTGTCCCCCATTCCATGCCTCACTGAATGTTGGAGAAACAAATCTAGTCTAAAATAATGAGCAATCAACTCCACTGATGCTTGGGGCAGGCTGGGCAGGGGCTTGGGGGGAAGGGGTAGGGAGCTGAATCATTTATAAAGCTTAATAAAGATGCAGATGAGCATGCTGACTAGGAGCCCCAGAGCTGGTCTTATTCATTATTCAAAGTTATGTAAATGCCACTGGATCCTGCCTGTTAGAATCCTGCCCCCTGTTCCTGCTGCTTCTCCCTGCCTGACAGATACAGCCCCCTGTGCCTCCCCTTCCCACTCCCAGGTGCTTCTGCACCCTGCTGTGCACCTTTGCCCAGGTACCCATTTCAGACCCAACCTCCAGAGTAATAATATCCTACATCTCCTCTCTAGCCAGAAGTCATCCACAGGTTTGTGGGGGAGGCCATGGTCTTCAGGCAAACCTAGCTAGGCCCAATTAGATGGGCTTCTCATTTTTAAAGATTTCCAAGGAAAGAATACCATAAGAATACTTATACACATGTTTTAATAACGCACTAATCTACTCAGTGGGGTGGATTTCCTGAGATCTAACTTAAATCCCTCTGGTTGCACTGGAATTCCACCATTGAAACAGAATATCCAATAACCAAATTCTCTTTAATCACTTTCTGAGAAGTAAAATGCAGGCATCAAATCACTTCAGCCTACTGTCTCCAAACTAACTCATCCTTGTTGCCTCCTTTTACCTTTTTAGACACCGGAACCTTCTCCCAATTTACCCTCACCCTCTTTAAGCTCTTAAACCTGTTCTGGGATACCAAATTCTGGTGAGGGTTTAACTAATACTAACTACACTATATACTTCCTCTTTTCCACATCATGATTACTGATTTGTACCCCACAATTGCCTAGGACTCAAATTCTTAGGACCAAAATTACTTTCCTCTGACTCTCCTTTCTGTGTACTGATCTTTCCCTTTTTTCCCCATCACCCCCTCATTTTTCAGTTTGGTGAGGCTGAGAGATGAAGAATCGGGTCAGAGTCTCAATGGCATCGATTGCCTCTGCTTTCCCTTCTTTTCTGGACTGGCTGTCCTCCTCCCCACCCCCAATCTATTTTTAGCCTGCCTCTGTTTTCCTTCGTCTGGTCGGCAACCAAGCCAGCCTCTTTCTCTTACTGCCCTTATCTCTCCTTTGCAGCCTGTGCAGACCCCAGCTGCCCTCCCAAAGGTCTCTTACTGCCTGGCCAACATATTTGGATTTTCTTCCACTTTGAAGATATATAGGGTCTGCCTGAACGGGATGCCTTGCCTCACTCCAGCAGAAGGGAAGCCAGAAGACAATGCTGGCAGGTCTGTTTGGACAAATCCCGCAACGTGACTAAAACCCTCCAGTTGTCCTCCAACCCCTTCCACAATGGCTTGTCCTCTCCCCTGTGCCCAGGGACTCTTTATTCCCTCTATCCCTTCTTCCCCTCTACGACTCCATCCCACCCTCAATGCGAAACGTTCAGGTCCTCCCATGTGAGCATGCCAGCCATTGCCTTTGGCTTTTGGGGTATGCAGCATCTCTTGAGGTCATTGCCTTCCTTCTCGGACTGCACATGGCTAGTCTCTTCTTACCAATTCTGGTTTCTCTCCACTCTTCCCTGACTCATCCTCCCACACCCTTCCTACCCCACATGCCCCTGTCCCCCACTTGCCCTCTGTTTCTAGGACACACTGACTCGCTTGTAAAGGGCCTCAGCCAGCTCGGGGCTTGTCAGCTCCCCCACTTGTCCTTTCTTGGCCTCCTCTAGACATTGGTCCCCTCCTTTAGCCGTCACCAGCAAGATGAATAAGGCTGGATATTTTGGAAGGGGAGCTGCAGCTGGCTGGGGGAGGAGGTGGCAGAGAAGCAGAGGCAGCGGGAACTGCGGGCAGCCATGGTATGGGAGGGACACGTTCCCAGCATCCTTTCTCCCAACTTTGCCATCTTTGGAGCCGGCTGGATCTTCCACTGATCTTCTACTCATCTCTCTCTCTCTCAGGAACACCACACCTTGCTTTAGAATTTACCACATTCCCTTACACACATCCAGGTATCTGCATGACACATTGTCACCCTCCTGCAAGTTTGCTCCAGCTCCGGCTCCTCATGCTCCTCATTGAGTCCTGCCCTGACCACCGCCACACGGGGCAGCCCCTCCCCCGGCATTCTCTACTATCCTCCTGCTGCTGTTTCTTCCCCAAGGCACTTGTCAGCCTCTACTGGATGAAATGTTTTACTTACGTGTATTGTTTACATGTCTTCTCCTCACTGGACTATGTAAACACCACAAGAGCAGAGATTTTCATCTGTTCTGTTCATGGATGTATCCACAATGCGTAGCGTGGTGCCTGGCACACAGGAGAAGCTCAAGAAATATTTGTGTATTGAATGAATAAGTGAGCTTATTTGATCTTTACAGACTCCTGTAGAGTTAGTCAGTATTATTAGTCATGCTTTTTTTTATTGGGGTAAAATGTACATAACATAAAATATACCATTTTAGCTATTTTTAAGTGTACAGTCCAGTGGCATAAAATACATTCACTTAACCCTGTTTGTGTTTGTGCTGTGTTACACCATGACGTTGTCACCACCACAGTCTCCAGACGGCTTCATCTTCCCAGACTGAAACCCTGTGTCCATGAAACACTAACTCCTCGTCTCCCCCCGCCCCTCACGTCAGCCCCTGGAAACGGCTGTGCTACTTCCTGTCTCTGTGAATTTGACTATTCTAAGGACCTCATATAAGTGGGATCCTACCATACTTGTACTTTTGAGTCTGGTTCATTTCACTGAGCATCGTATCTTCAAGGTTCACCCATGGTGTAATATTGTCCCCACTTACAGATATGATCAGTCCCACTCTGCAGAGGCTGAGGTTCAGGGAACCACCTGAGAACCCGGAAAAAGCAAATGTAGACAGGGTTGGTGGGACTGGCTGGCTGCTATGATGATTCCCTGGAGAAATCAGTGCTGTTCCATGTGCTTAGGCCTCTAAGGCAGTTGAAGAGTAATTTCCTCTGTGTTGTACTTCCTTTGGGAATATTTTTAGTCTTATTCCCATTTCCCACTCTTTCCCCCAGGTGACTCCTAACATTTCCACCCCACTCAGCCCGTTTTTCTCTCCCCAGAGCACTGTAATTCCTATTCTCTCAGGTCAAACTGGTGTGCTCTGGAGCCTCCTACCTGGATTTCATCTGAGTGCATTCTGCCTTGCTTGAGGCCTTTTTTACACCCCTCACCCTCCCACCCAGCCTGGGGTGCTTATGAGCCTGTTCCCTTCCAAAGCAATTAGTGCAAGGAGGCCAGCCGACTTGGCGCTAATGCCGTTTCATTAAGTGGGAGCAATCCTAATGATAATAAAATGGCACATTTAACATTCAAACATTGAACAGGGTTTCTAAGCGAGTGTGTCTCTTTCTTTCTGGTATAACAGCTCCATCTTCATAAGGACCTGACAATACACCCTAATGAGAGACTGGGGAACTGAGCATCTTTACAGAAGCAGAGAGAGGATGAGAACCAGACAGAAAAATCCAGGGAAAGAAGGTGTAGTGCATCGAGGGGGTAAGGACCCCAAGGATTCTGTGGGATGGATTCTGTGGTGCTGATTAAGACAATTAGAGTCTGCAAGAAACTAGGTTACATGGAAGATAAAGCCCACCGCAGATTTTAATGCAATACAGCTATTTGTTTGCTTGTCAACACATTTCTATCAACCAGTATTTGTTGTGCACTCAAGATGATCCAGATTTCATGGGGCTTTTGTAATGGAGGGTGGCTCCTCTTTTAGGAAAAGGAAGTCCAAGGGCAGCAGTGTTCTATCTATCATCTTGGTTACCTCCCCTGGGCAGATTTTGTCAAATCCAACCCAAGTTCATCAAATGTCACAGTGAAGAGAATTTTAACAACTGCCTTGGTCTCCTGAGCCAGTCCTTACGTCCCCTCCTTATTGAGACATCCATCTCAAAGGTCCTCGCTACTCTGTGATTACAGAATATCTGATTGACCTTTTGGAAGCAAAAAAGTAGTAGGATTGGGTAACTGGCCAGGGAAAGAAGGTAGCTTCAATCATCTGGTGTGGATGAGAGACTCACAAGAGGCAGAAAAAAAGGACTACATCTCACAACCACTTCCTTCAGCTAAGAAGTCTTTCCCTACCACACAGAAGGCTTTATTTCCAGCTCCTGTGCACAGAAGGGAGGCTGCTGGCCAGGGGTCAAAGGTGGGCTTTGCCCAGGCCAGGAAAGCGGCTGATCCGAAAATGTGTCAGGTCATAGGATGGTGTTAATTTCATGCTTAATTCATACAGGATCTTCCCCACAACAGGGGCCAGCTTGAATCCATGTCCTGGGGAAGGGAAAGCAGGCTGTCAATTGCTCTCAGACACAGGGGCTGTGCTCTGGAAGTCCACCACAGTCCAGCTAGGGCTAAGTCTCCTCTTGGTCAAATCCCAAAGCCAGAAGTTGACTCCCACCCCGTTCCCCTTCCCTGACTGCTCCACCCCACCTCTTAAACACTCAGGATCTGGGCTTTGGCCCTTATCTGGCCTGCTGAAAGCACAGAGAACACCATATTCCCTACCACTGAGGGAGGCTGGCGTTAAGGCACCCTTCTCCCCCTGCTCAGACTCACCAGAGAATCCAGCACCAATGACAATGTTGTCATACTTCGGGTGTTGATCAAGAATGAAGTGCTCATCGGGGGTGTTCTAGAAAGAAACACTCACACCTGTGTCCTCTGAGGATAGAACAAGGAGGAAGAACCACAGGCTCATGGGGAAGGGGAAGAGGCTGAGGTTCTTTCCAGAAAGAACGGGAATGGGGCACGGGACTGCTTTCTGCATGCCAGCGCCCCCTCTGAGAATGCCATTCTTTCTCATTTGCCCATCTGCCTCTTCTCTCATACAGAGAGCTAGGAACACAGTAGGCACTCAGTTAATGTGTATAAACTAACTTTAGCCAAGATGCCTCAGGCCCGGGTGACATCTGTCTCATCTCTTTGTCCCTAAGGCCTGCTCAACTAGAACATCTTGCCAAAAAATCTTTTAGAGCTCTTCTGGGAAACATAGTGAAGGACTGCCAGGCAGAAGCCTAGTTTCCTAATGAAAAGGAGTATGAATAACCTCTAATGGGCCCTCTCTGGTGGAGGTGAAACTTCCTGCAGAAATGAGCTCATTTGTTGCAAGTCACATACTATGTCAGGGGTCAAATAGAGTCAGGCCAGAGAATCACAAGGTCAGTCTCCTTCCCCTGGTCTCCAGGGTGTGAGAGGGCCCAGCCCGGCTGCCCACCCCCTTACCGTGTACATGCAGTGCTCCATAATGGCAGGCTCAGGCTCTAGGTCCGTTAAGTGATCATGGACAAAGCGGCTCAGGATTTGGACGTCTTGGATGTCTGAGAATGCTGCCAGGCAGTCCCGCTCTTCAGGATCTGCATTGTTGCCGTGGTGATAGCAGACCTGGCTCCCAATCAGAGCAGTGTGAGCTGTGAGGGCCGGCCTCCCGCACACCCGCCCAGTCCAGGGGCACACTGCACACAGAATGCCCCCACCCATCGTCCCAGCCTGCCCCAGTCCTGACAGATACTATTCGTTCCCCCCACCAACCCTATGTTTGCAAAGGAAGGGCTCCCTTTGCTAGCCCTCAGGACAGCTGGGGGCCTCAGGCTCCTGCTGCCCACAGGATTGTTTCACCCAATCCTGCTGTCATTTACATGTTCCCTTTTGTTAGGATGCACAAAAATCTCTAAGTCTCTGTCTCTTCTCAGCCCTACTTTCAAGGGAATCTGTAGAAGGAAAGTTAGAGTGCTGCCGCAAATCTGCATGGGCCCCTGCTAGCCTTCTCTAGGCCTTCCCGCTCACCTTCATCAGCCCTGGGTACTCTCCAGAGGGCAGCCCGTAGATGTGGTAGGGAGTCAGGCTGAGGCCCAGGCCCAGGAGGCACGGAAAAGCCTGGGACACACTGTAGCTCCCGGGAACCTTTTCTTGCCAGTAACACACATTGATCCGCAGGGTCTTGAAGCAGAGAGAGGAAGTGGGAGGTGAAGGGGGAAAGCCATGGACTCTGTAAACAACATGAGCTGGTTTTTTCTGGGATCCTGTAGCCCTTTAGCACAAGCTCAGATGCCCTGCTTAACACATCCATCCCTGTTTCACCCAACCCTCATGTCATTTACATGTTACATTTTGTTAGGATGCCCAAAAATCTCTAAATCTGTCTCTTCTCCCATAAATGCCCCAGCCCTTCTTCTCTCTCTTTCTCATATTCACTGAGTGCTTACTATCGGCCAAGCCATCTCCTACGGGTTTTATGTATATGGTCAAATTTAATTTTCCACCAGCCCATCACCATTTTACAGGTTGTAAGACTGAAGCTCATGAAGAGAATTAATTTGCCCAATGTCATCCACTAGCAAGTGGCAGATCCAGGACTCAAACTCAAATCCATTTGGCTTCAAGGTTTCTTCTCTTAAGCACCAACTCTCAGGCTTCCAGCACCCCTTTACCTGGAGAGGCAGTTCAATTCCCAGGGGATGGAGGAGCCGGTTGGTCCAAGGACCTGCTGTGATGATCAAGCTCTTGGCTTGGTAGCTCCTGGAGGTACTTTTCACCATGACTGGTAGCCCTGGTTTTATCTCCATTACCTTCTCTCCATCATGCACTAGGCCTCCTAGCTGTCGAATTGCATCCTGAAAGGGCAGGAGCAGAGGGTGTGAATTAGTTATATATGTGATTCACCCTGGGGGACAGAGCCCTTCACTTAGGGCAGAACAGATTCTAGACTTCCTCTCCCATGTTGACAAGGCCTAACAGGGCTATAAAACTGCCCTGCCACAAGGTGGGGACTAAAGCCAGCAGGGCAAAGGCTCTCATCCAGCAGGGGACTGGGGAGCTGGCTGGCTGGGACCTAGGATGCCAGAGCAGTTGCTGCATTGCCCCTAATGCTGCACAAGGTCACCTGGAGGGCTCTGAGGGCCTTGTCTGCATACAGAACTCCTCCAGACTTGTCCAAGAGCCCCACTTCTCCCCTGGCCAACCGGATATTGGGGAAACGTAGCTTCAGTTCTTCAGATGGAAGACACTGGTGTTCCACCCCCTGCCTAGATAAAGTAGCCTGGATTATCTTTAATTCTGGATTGTCCTTCAGTCCCAGAAGCAATAGTCCAGTCTGCCTGTCAAAAAAAAAAAAATAGAACACCTGGGTGAGGGTGTGCAATAGGGTCCGAAGCCATTCTCTCATTCTTCAGCAAGAGCCCCAGCGCCAGGGCATCAAGGAGAGGCCTGGCCTCCAGTTCAAAGAAAACAGATAAAGTCATCTTGATTCTGTGTTAGGGTCCCAGTATCATTGAGCTGGTTTTCAGTCCATTCCCAAGTCTCCCCAGGACTCTCACTGTTGGTTTGCTGGTCCCTCTGTCCTCCCTCCTCAGGATTCATCCTGCCCTTTAAGGCAAAGACCCTAAGAGGATTTACTCTTTCATCTCCATACCTAGAAAGTGGTAGGATAAGAATTGGGTAAGATTTCTTCCCCTTCCTCAGGTCTCCTACCGTCCCCCCTCATATTGATTTCTATTCTTTATCCTCTTTGCCCCCTACCTGCACCCTGCTGCTCCTTTTCCCTGACCTTTATCTTGTCTTATAATACTCTGTGCCTTCTGTGTCTCTGTCTGTCTTTCAATGCCTTCTCAGAAGCTGTCCCTCTTTGTAGAAAGGGTCCTAAATTTGTTGATCTGGCTCTGAGTCCAGTCCATGTCCCCCTGTGACCCTGGATTCTCCTCTGTGACACATGCCTGTTGGACCATTGGGGGTTCCACACCAGGGTGGTACTGCCCCTCACCCAGGGGCATGTGGACATGGCATGGGCCATTTTTTTAGCTGTTGCAACGCCTGGGGATTGCTGCTCACATTTAGGGGGCAGGGACGAGGGATGCTAAGCCTGCAATGCTCAGAAGACCTCGCCCAAATGCCCATAGCACGCTCCTGCACAAATGCCAATAGATGGTCTCTCAGGACTCTAGCAATTAATTCAGTGATGCTATGATTTTGTATCTCCCTATACCTCCCTCTGTGCTTCTTACTCCCTGAGAGAGTAAAAGCTGTTTCTCTTTCATGCTGTCACAAAACACGAGAACTCCCTTTTTGTGGGAGCTGATGTAAACAATGGAAGGGTCACTTTGGCCCTTGGGACCATTTCTGTGGTCCATCTTGCTTTCAGCACCGCAGTGACCAGCATCAGCCTCGTTCATCCCCCAGGTACTGTGTATAAAGCTCGTAATAGCCGATAATGGAGTCTCATGGATATTACACGCCTCCAAATCCCACATTATCTGGTTGGAGGGATTAAAGAGAAGATTGGGAGGGGGTAGGGACACAGCAGGCCCCAGGGCCGGTGTCAGTACACAGAGCCGCGCAGCGTGCCCAATCCATTTGCCATGGCCCCCGCCTACCCAGCATTCACCACTAGTGAGAAAGCTGTGAGTGCCTCTGTGCCTCCGTCTCTTCAGAGCTCAGCAGAAGGAGGATGCTGCATAAATCCCCACTAGCCAGCACGCAGCCTTTTCCTGTGGCCCCCAAAAGGACTTCAGATTCATTTTCAAGTAATGAAAACTTGCCTAGTAAACTTCTTGGTCAACAGGATAATTAAGAAGTCACCCAAATGTATGCTCTTGCACCCTTTCACACGATGGGGGTGTGACTGGGTATAACTCTGGGGAAGACCTGGCTTAACCCTCACCTCAACGGTCATAATGTCAGATGCCTGGCCCAGAAATTCCAGAGAACATATTGTAACCCCTGTCTGAACGATACCAACTTTGTTCTCTTACATGCTCTGAGATTTAATTACTTTCCCTTCCTCCCTCCCTCCCTTCCTTCCTACCTTCCATCCTTCCTTGAAATAAGGACTCCTCTTATATGGGGAAAATGAACCTATGCCATGACAGCGGGCAAACCTGCTGAATTATGAAATGCTGAGTGATGTTCTAATTCCCAAGCCGACCCATGGTGGATGAAGCAGGAGCTCCCATCCCTAGGAGTAATCAGTGAACTGATCCTGGCAGTGAATGCAATTGTGCCGATTGCAATCATTTTGCTCCAGTTCTCTGCCCCTGTGGCATTTATTTCTTAACCCAGATATTGATCTAACAGTGGGAAATTTTCCATCTGAATTTGTGATGCTGGACCCTCCCCTAGTCCGAAGATACGTTGGGAAATTCTCATTTTCCGTGGATCACAGCTGAGCTATTTGGCCTGAGGGAAACCATGCACTGCTGGAGAAATGCTTTGGATTGGAGAGAGATTTTTGACCATTATGAGCAAATCAGAAATAAATGTAGAACACTGCCTGGAAATGTGAAGGCCTGTCATTATGGGAGATAGGTGAGAAGCTCCTGTGGGAAATGCTTAGAGAATTGGAAATCAGTCAATCAAAACCGGGATTGGAGAACGGGTCTTTTCCCCCCAGTATGAAGATGGATGACTTCCATGGGCAGATTGAAAATCATTTAAGTGCTTATTTTCTTAATGGCTTTTCCTAGATCCCAATAAACACACTGCTCATTCTGCATCAATTTCTCACCCCTGTGCACTGGGCCTCCCTCTCCTCTTTTTCTGCTTAGGCCTAGGCTACAAAGTTTGGGAAGAAAGGTAAAAAGGGACAAAGGCATCACAGGAAAAAAAAAATGTTTCCTCCCAAGGGTCTCATTGACTGCTCTAGGGCCCTACTGAAGCCTCAGACCGGATGACCAGGGACTTTCACCAGCTGCTCTGACAGGACGGAGGCAGGAGGGGTGGGGGCCCTGGGAGGCGCACACAGCTCTCCCTGCAGCAAGCGTCTCCCATCCCAGGCTCCAGCTTTCCCCTCTCTGGGTTCCAACGCCTGTCAAGCCGGCTGTCAGTCACCTTGGGGAAGGGATTCAAACAGGGACTTGGGAATGCTGCTGTCTTTGTGGCTTCGGGAGGCACTCCTGGCATTTCATCTTCTGCTCAGTGGGCCGAGGTGGAATTGGTTAACAAAGACTGCTCCAGGGAGGGGATGTGGCTGACAAGCTAGACACTTCACAGACACAGGAAGGAACAGCCGCGGAGGGGCCACCAGGTTCTGCCCGCAGCCATACTGCCTACGGCTGTGATCTCATCTGATACTGTCAGCTAAGCAGGGGCAGCCGGGTCAGGAGCTAGATATTAGGACTCAAAGGGAGAATGCGGGACAGGAAAGAGATGGGCCATGGAGCAGGGATTCACTATTGGGATTGGGATCAGCGTCCTGGCTGTACACATCACAAAAGATTCAGACCTTGTGATTTGACACGTGTCATTGTCTGTTCCCAGAATATATGCAAATATTCTGCGCCCACCCATGTTTAGTATGCCGCTGTCACAGGAAATGGCAGAACAGAATAAAAATAATTGGTCAGCCACCTTAATTACCCACCCCTGAAGGTGTTTTTCTAAATCATCATCAAATAACACCAAGTAAATATACATATCAATCAGGTAGATTATGACGTTCTGCTGGTTCTTCCAGAAGAACCACAAAGATGATGAATTGTTTAGAAAACCAGAATTAAGAACAAAAGCTTAAAGAATTGGGATGGGAAGTATCCATTCTGCGTCCCTAAGTAAAAGAACCAAATAAATTAGTGTACCTGAGGAAATTCGATTAGCCATAAGAAAGGATTTATTAATAATAAAAGTAATAATAACATCTAGCATGCCATAGAACTTTAAAGATTTTCCAGGCACATTCACTTTGTTCTTCATTTTTCATAACTGGGATGTAAGGCATCAGAATGGTCTTTTAAGAGGGATTGTGAAAAAAAAAAGAGAGGGATTGTGATATGTCCCTGTCTGTAAATGTACATTAGCAGTACATTTTTACCTGAGATGATTTCAGTATGAATTTGGAGACAGAGGATAGACAAGATAACTAGTCTGTGTTATCTTCTAAACCAGGGGCCAGCGAACTAAGACCCAGGGACCAAATCAGGTCTGCCACCGGTTTTTGTCCATTGCACAAGCCAAGATGTTTTTTATATTTTTATAATTAAATATAACATATTACCATATATTTTATATTTTTATATTTTAATGTTTGATAAAACACAAAAGAAGAAGAATATTTTTGTGAGATCAAAAGTATATATGATTTCAGTGTCCATAAATAAAGTTTTATTGGAACACAGCCATGCTGATTTGTTTACATAGTATCTGTGGCTGCTTTCACTGCCATGGCAGAGTTGAATAACTGGCAGGGTTGAATAGTTGCAACAGAGACCATATGTCCTGCAAAGCCTTACATATGACGGGCCATTTGTAGAAAAAGTTTGCCAAGCCCTGTTCTAGATTAAGAATAAGTAATTCTGTGATTTGCATGAATGGGTTAAGACCCTGACTACTCAGTAGCAACACTCTCATTTGTGAGGGGAATTAAATGAGTTAATGTGTATCCCGCCCTTTTAGAATGGCCTTATTTTCTCATTATGAGCACTAAATATGGGATGATGGTGATACCTCAGGTACTGCTCTAAGGCCTTTACATGCTTATCCTTTCAACAGCCCCATGAACGAGATGTTATTACCCCCACTTTATAGATGAGAAAACAGTCTCACAGAGGCTAAACAGCTTGCCCTAATCCACATAGTTAAATGGGTCAGAGCTGATATGTAAAGCAAGGCCTGCCTGGTTCCAAAGTCCTTCCAAATTCCCATCCTCCTGCCAAAGAGGAGGATTGTGAGATTATGAGAATCTCCTACCCACGGTTCCCTCTCCCTCTCTCCAGAAGCCGTTCCTTCCTCCATTTGCCCTTCTTCCTCACTTGCTCAATGGAGATAGAATACAGCTGACCCAAACTAGGTGGAAAGAACTGCCATTTAGTGAAAGGTGCTGGGCATTGTGCCATATCTTTCATAGGAATCTTGTTTAATCATCACAAAGCCCTGTGGAAAAAAAAAAAATGAAGCACAGAAAGGAACAGAAGCTTTTCCAAGGTCACACAGCTGGTAAGAAGTAGAGCACAAAGTCATATTCAAGCCTGTCTGACTCCAGAATCATCTTCCCTTTGAAAGATTCCAGACACTCTCATAACATCTCTTAGCTGCCTCCTTGTCTGCTGGAAAGAACTGTGCCCTGCAAGACCGCTGCAGCTCTTTTAGTACAAAGACGCTCAGCGG